ATACTGTATTGATTTCAGAATACCAATAGGAAGTTAGTGATGGTCAGGTCATTTAACTGGTTGAAGTATGATACTGGAATATCCCATGAAGTCCATGGTGGGTAGATTTTCACTGCTGCATTTATTGTTATATAGGGGAAGGAGGCTATCAGCAGTACGATTTAGTGTTTTACATGAAGATTCATGAAGATTCATGGCATCATGTTGTTTAAGTACCCCCTTCCAGATTCAACGATTACTTGGGTAAAGACGGATTTGAGAATCAAAAGAGTTAAGACGACTACTAATTGAATAATTGAGCCTTTCGGCACATCAATTGTCATAGATGACTAGTCTGATGGTAAACCACGACTACTTATAATAACCGTATAGATGACCCAAAACCCACATCACCATTGCGCCCGTAGAACTCTGCCTCTGTGATAGGATGTGGTGGTCAACCTCGATGAATGAACTGGACACGTCTAAGGTACCAGCATTCACCGTGTAATCGTTTTCCAATGAGGTTATCTAACTTCTCTAATATGTGACTGGGTTTGTATTACAATATGTAAAAGGTTTAAGTGATGCTGAGAACCAGAGAAAATAGAGTAACTGAGAGGGCAGTTTCGGAGTGGACTTCAGTATTAGAGAGAACAAGGAAGTTGGTTGGTAGTAATCAGGTTCTCTCCTTTGTGTACCGATATGACCATTCCATCTCTCCAGTCAGAAGGTAGTTTACCTTTGACTAGGACCACTTAGATGTAGTAGCAGGAGGGAAGCAATGATGGTTCACCCTTCTTCGGATGCCATTTAAGCTTGTGGGTGTACTTAGGCCAGAACACCTTTCATGCTTTTGATTTTAAGAGGTTCAAACTCCGCAAGCCAGAGTTAATTAACTGACACTACTGACCGAAAATATATAAATTGGAATTCCTTAGCCAACAGTTCAAAAACCACATTTTAGGGGCTGTGAACTGCTTAGAAGTCCTGATTCAGAACATCATAATTGATGTGTTTTCTTATCTGAAAAGTTTCGTAGAAACCTGCTGTCACTCTACAGATTTCATTTAGATAAAAATCGATAAGTTACTTCATCCCATTTGGCTTTTTGAGTACACACATACTTTTTACCACGATCAATCATCACTTTCATTGCTGTGCTTATTGCTGATGAGATTACAAGTACAATACCTCAATCGGGAGGACGGTAGAACTGGTTTAATGTATACCCGTTGCAAAAGCGTGTGGTTATCTTATCTCATTAGCTAAGTGGATCACACGATGGTGTTTGAAGCTGAGTTAGAGTCCCCGAGTGAATATTAACCCTGAGATGCATGTTCATCCAGATGATGAGTCCCTAATAGAACGAACCTCCCACCCTGGATTCTAATGCTAACCACATCCCAAATATTCGATACTTTTTTAGTTTCATGTTTTACTTGTTGGCATTCGTTTTTACTGATCACATTCAGATATTGGGTTATATTGTACTATTTACCAAGTAACTGATCATTAAGATTTTTTACTTACATATAGAGATGGTCTACCTCATTCCTGGCCTTAGACGATAATGGTTAGGAATCCATACTTATTTAGAATAGTCTATTAATCATGTAAGTGAGATATGTTCTCTGCAAATTATTTTATTTCGTTACATTAGTCATTCATTTCGATGTCCTGACTCAAGAATAGTCTGAATTCCCTCACGGTCAGTTTAAAAGTTGATCAAGTTTGATATTATTATGAAGTTTTGCCTAATACTTCTACCATATATACCATAATATAGACCAAAATGAATGCTGTAGCCCTCCTGATTGTAAATGTGAATAATCTGTGGGAAGATTATTTGTTCACTGATGACCAATTTACATCAAAAAAGTTTGGCGGTCAAAAAGATAGTACACACACAAAAGCATATAGGAGGCATTTAAGGGTGTTCAGGGGACAATTTATGAGGAGCATATAAACATGAATTTTTTCTTCATCAAATTCAAAACAGAAGGAACAATAAGCAATCCGGAAAGACAATTTCATCCAGAAATTTGTTCTATTTTACATAGGAAATAACTAATTTATAAGCAAAATAGAATATTCTCATCCAAACTTAAAAATAAGAAAAAGTAGTTCAGTGAACAGTGAATTCCTTTATAAAGTTGTACATTCAAATGAATTCAAAACAAATTTTCGTAATATCTAAACTATGAATCAAAAGTGATATTAGCAGTTTGATCAAATTAAATATTAAGATTTCATTTAGCTATTAATGTCATGTACGATGTAATAGGTCAATTCCATATTGTGAAGGATAAACTTTCCGATACAATTTCTATAAGTTTAGTTTTCTGTTGAAACAATAATTCTCATTTGAAGTCAAATGTCATTGTTTTTAGCATGAGGGTAATATTTGTTATACATTTATAAAAGTAGAGATATTATTCGTTGTCTTTTTTGAGAGCTAAGTAAATATTCACGACAGAATTGAGTAAAAAATGAATTTGTTGGGTAGATCCAGAAAACTCCTCGAAAACATATGCCAAAAAAGGCTCTGAAAACTCTTAGAAGCATCTTATGCAATCAGCATTCACTATAAGTCTTGCCAGAAACATCTAGAAAGTGAAAAGTCACATGTTGAGTTTCTGATTGGATGATTATGTAGATCACCAACGTAGATGATCTATGTCGAAAATGATCGGAGGCCTACTCGAGTTAGACGTGAATGGTGTGACAAACTAGCTAACATCGAAGTCACACCTCGTGGTCAACACCTTACGTGGACTACCCCATTGACGTATCAAGGTACCATAGATGCTTTGAAGACTGTACAACACAGAGGAAGTTATTAAAGAAATATATTAGTTGAAGTAGATACAAGCAAAAGTGAGACCACTGTCGCATGGGCCAGTTCATGGCATACGACTAACTGATGCGCGTTGGTTCTCCCTGACCTTGATGAGGATCGATGATTTGTTCGATAATCAATGCCCCAACTGCCGGATGATTTGGCTAGGGCTTAGTGACATTTCGCTGGACCTACAATTATCTATACTGCTACTATGTTTAGTGCCGTTCCAGAATTTTCTGGAAACCCAAGGCCATCTAAAATACTATAAAAATCCTAGATTTTCGGTACATAAATGAACTTTGAAGTAAAGAGTTCTTTCCGTATTTCGTGCCTTTTCTTTCATGTTCAAGTCGCTGTGTAGATTTAGCCTGCGGGTTACTAGAACAGCTTAAGATCCGAATCTAGCGTTTAACTAGAAGACTTATCGGAATTCATCGACAAGAAAGACTCTTACTAGGATCGTTTTCTTTTGTTTTTATTCATTTATATCGTCTGCTTTATGAATGTTTAAAAAGTCATGTCATTAATTGCTTGATATTCATCCTAACTGTTAAAATTAACCCTTGATGCTTCGTTCACAATCTTCAGAATGACGTAATGACGTAATTTTTACTCATTCAATTGATACAATTCAAAAAGAGTTGGATAGCTTGTTTGAGGATTTTACAATTTCTGAAAAAATTCACTTCTCTTCCTTATAATAAACCAAAGTGATTAATAAACAGAACATTTTCCTATTATAAACTATTTTAGACTCATGAAAGAGCATAATTCAACGAATTGATGTTGGTTACAAATCAGGAAATCAGATATTCCATTGAGTTGCTTTATACTCAAGCTTTTATATGTAATTTTGGTGAATAATTCTAGATTTTGATCACTGAACATGAGAAACATGAGGAACATTTTGCTTGGATACCTTTATATAGTTTCCAAACTGAAAAGAATTTGATATTATAAATGAAAATGTTGAAGATGATTCTGTTGATAATTTTATGAAAAATCTAATATCTTGTTGTTTAGTGTAAGTGACTCTGTTGATAACCAGAAGTTTCATATTGTAACAGAAATCAATGGTTTCAATTCATTGAGTTACATGAATAATTCTAATAGTTAGAAACTCATGATTCATTTATAACGTACTTTATTCTATCAAACACATCGACAAAATATAACACAATATTCACTTCCTATTGTTTACTTCAATCTTCTCATTGATGTTCAGAATTGAAATTGATTAATCTCTTATTGGCATATATGCATACTTTGCTCATTGCCTCCATATTGTCTTGAGTCATAAGCATTTTAAACAACGATGGATAGTGGCTGTTGATGGAATGTAGGACACGCGTTTCATCGTTTTTGAAATTCATCATCTGGATGTACCTGCATCTCACAGTTGATGTTCACTCCACTTGAATTTCAACTTCATCAAATTACACGAGCTAGTGTCTATCAGTACTCAATAGTTAAGTGAATAACGTGATGGTGTTTAGAGTGAAAGGTACTATATTTGAGTCTCAGAGTGTACATCAACTGTTGAATATAAAAGTACATTCAACTGACGATTCATTCTAGTTGGGACTCATCAACTGGTGTACCTATATCCCATAGTTGATATTCACTCTAGAACTTGAACTTCAAATCTTATCGTATTATCCACTTAGCTACTGAGTCTTGATAACCACTTTATTGTGTATATCAACTCTGAGATGTAACTACATCCAGTTGACGAATCCTAAATAGGACAAGATACATGTCTTGGATTCCATGATTAGTTATTATTCAACTTAGGTTATATATCATACAATGTTTCATATATATATATATATATATATATATATATATATATATATATATATATATATATATATATATATTATTGAAATAGTTTTGATCAATAAAATGAGAAGTCAATCTATCATCTATCCTATAATTTAAGGATAATATTAACAAATCATTATAATAGAATACTTAACCTATTATTTACTTATGTTTTACTTTCTTTCATTCATTCATGAATTAACCAATAGAAATCAATCTTAATCTAAACATTTTGATTGGTTAATAATAACTATAAGAAAATAAATGGACTTTGTAACCCTAGAAACAAATTACATTTTATATCGTCTTTAATTAAATAGGAAATTATTATGAATGATTTTTGTTTAAAAAAATGTTTAACTATAAAATTTATTATAATAAATTGAATGGATATTACATAATTTTAGGTATATTAATTATTCCAATTCTATTGATTTTATTACAAAGGTATAATATTATAAACATTATAAACCAATATATTAGATATTTTGTACATGAATATGATGGAATACATGAAGTATTAAAGATTTATTCAACATTTTATGAATTAAAAAGGTAAGTAGTAGTAGTGGTGGTGGTGGTAGTATTAGTGGTAGTAGTAATAGTGGTAGTGGTAGTAGTAGTATTAGTAGTAGTAGTAGTAGTGGTAGTATTAGTATTGGTATTAGTAATAGTAGTAGTAGTATTAGTAGTAGTACTAGTGTTAGTGGTAGTAGTGGTAGTGTGTTTTGTTATTTTTCACCATATGATATTATGTCTGTACTTTTTTTAGGGATTTAATTAATGGGAAACTCAAGTTGAACACTGAAAAAGTTAGTTTAATTCAATGTATATATATATATATATCATTAAAATTGATTGAGGATTGTAAATAAAAAGATGTTTAGTGTGATTTATTTAAGTTAACCATAAGAAATATGATAAGATGGATAGATACTCCAAATTATATTCAGTTTAAATTTGATTGTCATTCTGTCAATCAGTTAGTTAGTTAGTTAGTTACGCTTGTTACTCCCAATGGAGCATAGACCGCCTACCAGCATTCTCCAATCAACTCTGTTCTGGGCCTTTCTTTCTAGTTTTATCCAGTTGTTGTTCATTCTTCTTATATATGTCTCCATTTCTCGGTGTAATGTGTTCTTTGGTCTTCTTATTCTCCTTTGGTCTATAGGACTTCAAGCGAGGGCTTGCCTTGTGACGCGGTTAAGTGCTTTCCTTAATATGTGTGTTATCCACTTCTAGTGCTTGTTCTTGATTTATTCCTCAACTGGGATCTGGTTTGTTCTCTCCCACAGTAGTTTGTTGCTGATGTGTCTGACCAATGGATCCGAAGTATTTTGTGTAGACAAAAAAACACTAACCAATCAGTTAGCTTGTCTGTCATAATGAACGAAGTGTCTGATACAGATGTATGTTTGTTCAAGTTGTCATATTGTATTAGCAAAACATGATGAAATGAAAAAAGGTGAATACCAGCAATGATAATAAAACGGATTCAGTATAAGGATATGATTTGAAAGGGCTGAACGAAAAAAAATTGTATAAACGAATAGTGGAACCCAATACTTAAAGTAAAATAGAATGCGAATCCATCTAAGACATCATATTCATTGTCGTTCATCAGTGACCGTGTATAATTCTTGTACCCCGACTACGTGGTCTTCATCTATCAATAAGACTCAAACCAACTGTCGACGTCTTTATGGATTGATGCCATATTTTGTTTGAACCTCGAAGGCTTCCATCCAACTTATTTTTACAACATGTAAAATTGCCTATCATGGTAGACAATGATTGGGCATACATAACACATGAAATTCTGTTAATTTGTCTATCTTTATAGTTAAATATTTGTAAACCATTTATGTAAAGTTATTCAAAAGCATCACTATTTGTTTATTTCATATAACTTAGAAAGTGTTACAAGTATGTAAATTACAGGAAAATATAATAAGAATGATTCTTGAATGATAGTTAATTTTTGTGATGACAGTTATAGGTCGTTAATAAACCATAATTATTTAAGTCAAAATGTGTCCACAGATTGTTCGTCCTTGATTTATTAGTTGTCTAATAGGTTAACATATTGAATCAATTTCAGTATGTTGACTGATTATTAAGTTGTGTCAGACAGAGGGTTTTGTAGAGAATATAGTCAATTGAAGCTAGATCACCATAAAAAACCTGAAGCCATTGGATGACCGTTTCTCCCTAGTATGGTACTCCTCAGCATTGTGCATCCATGATCTCACTCGCAGAAACGCAAATAAATAAATAACTAGGTCCTGGGTTCTAATCTCATGAAGCGGGATCGTGGACATGCACTGCTGAGGTGTGCCACAATAGGATGAAACGGCCATCCAGTGCTTTCACACTTTTCATGGTGCTCTAGCTTCAATTGACTCATGATCTCAACTATTAAAACTGCTATAATATCCACAAAAACCCATTCTGATACAAATAAATAAATGTTATACAAACAAATATTTATTTTCAGAAGGGGTTTGTGGAGCTTTTAGAAATTTCACAGATTGAAATCATGAGTCAATCGGAGCTAGAACACCATGGAAAACCTGGAAGCACTGGACTGCCGTTTCGTCCTAGTATGGGACTCCTCAGCAGTGCGTATCCACGATCCCGCACTCCGCGAGATTTGAATATTCCAAATAGATTGATTTTTATTAGTTGTTTGAATTCTTCCACTGATGTTTAAAACTGTAATTGACCAGTCTATTTCGTATATATGGAGTAAACATTAACTTTTTGACATATTTACACCCAGCTGACGAGTCCTAAACGGAATGAACCATTCATCCTCAGTTCCATTGGTAATAACCAACTAAATCTGATTATATTCTAAATAGTCTTATAAAAATTCATTTCTTTTTAATTGACTTCATTTTCAAAGTTATTTACAAATTGAAGAAAAATCTCCTAAAAAGAATGGAACTTCCGTTTGATTAGGATTAGTGAGAAAAATATTCAACCTGTTTGCTTATTATACTCAGCTATTCCTATTGTTTAGTACTCTTGGACATTAGTTCACTCGACAAGTCCTCAAATCAGAAAATGATTCAACAGGAAAGAGATTCATATTCTAAATAACAAGGTTAGATGAAAGTAAGAAGCACAGTAGGAAAAACGTTAGTATATTTATAGTTTTTACATGAGAAGATTCTAGGGTGTTCTCCAAGTATCGACTAACGCTGATTAGATAAGAATTAGCCAATACTGTTTTTTCCCCAGAAAATATATTACTGATTTAATGTAGTCGATTCGTTTTACGAATCTGAATCATGCCAGGACAACAACAATAAAATCATAACAATTTAAATTCAGTAATATTTCATGGGTTCTCGCCAACTGCTAAGAACCATATATGTAGTAAGGTGTAACAATGAGGTATGATTTTGAGATGGTGGAGAAGATATTTAGCTCAGATGTATGATTTTGATGGAGTTTTGTTCTGTGAGCTGGATGGTTTGGTCATGCAGCTTTCATCGTTCTTCTAAACGACATCATTAACACTTCTATCTGAAGTTTGTGCCGATGATGTCTTTAAGAAGAACAATGAAAGCTCCACGATCAAACCATTCAGCTCCGAGAACAGAACTCCATCAAAATGAGGTATGATATATAATGAAGTGGTCGACACTGATGACGAAAGAACTGAAGTAATAACTATATATATACTCATTACATAATTATTTTACTAAATATCTTCATTGCTTCTAATTAATATATTATTTAGATTAAAGAAATTGTAATTTATGGGGAAACAACAGTTCCTATCAATACTGAACTTCGAGGTTGTCTAGTATCGAATTGTGTCCTTCATCAGACAAAATGGCGTTCATATTATGCTGAAATGGTTATTATTACCAATGGTCATTTTCCAAATGTTAAAAACAATCAAAATCAAGTCTGGTTAGCATATCATTATGAAGCGCCTCCACATAGTCGTTTAAATAAACTATTAGGTGAGAAAGTAAGTATATGTGTATATTTTGCAGTACTATATATTAGTCTACTGTATATTACATAAATTGAAATTGTTTATAACAACTAGAATAGAACTAATTGAAGAAATTTTTGTTGTGACTTTAAACCCAGCTAATTATCACTTCATTTATTCGCCAATTGAAAAATCTAACTAGTGTGTTGAATCAATGACATTCGACCGGTATGAGCAGCCTAGAGTCCTTATTGGCCCCTTTGTTCTCCTAGCCCTTCTAGTTGAGTTCATAACGCTAATAACAGCGTCCACTATACGTATCATTTGTTTCAAACATACTTGGTTGATATATCGGCCAAACAGATCGCATCACACTATAAAATAGGAAATAATATTTATACAAGATCAAGCCAAAATGTGCCTGTGAACGTGGGAAACTGTAATCAATAAACTGGGTATAACTTAAGAAAGGTAACCGTATAATAATAATCTATGGATCAAAATGAAGGTTATAATAAGATGAATATAGATATACATAATCTAGTTACTGATCAGTTATACAATAGGAATATATGTATAATATTAGTTCATTAATAGGTCTCGGAAGGTGCTCGTAATCTAATCTTAACTAAGATATAACAGAAACAACTCTCATAACTACACTGAACAGATTACACTAACTACATTTTTCAGTTAATAGTTAATAAAGAGAGATTTTCACAGATAAATCATATTGTAGTGAACGAGAATACAGATGAGGACAACCAATTATATTCGGCACAAAATTACACAGTTATATGATAAAATAGTAAAACCATACTTCAATACTTCATTTACAAAATGTTCATTAATTGTTTCAGACTTCATTATTCCTTCATTTTCATACTAATTACTTTCTGTTCCTGTTCATTACTCTTCGATCTTGTCAACCTTCTTCTAACAAGCATTCGATTCCTGATTGACATTATATATTAGTTATGTTGACATACATAAGACGCACCACAATATTATTTAAATTAATGAACAGAATTTAATGAAATTTCATTGTTGAACATAATAGTCGATTATTTTATGGTTGTATTTATTGTGAACAATTGGAATTTCTGGACAGGTTCATTAATTACAAGCTTCAATGATAAAAAAAAGGTAGAAACTGACCGAAAAAATATATTCAATTGTATATATATATATGTTGAACAAATGCATAATTATGTGCATTAGATCAACATATGACTATCATCTATTTTCAGATTGGGGGGCTTTTGTGGAGATTGTAGTAATCTAATAGTCGATTAATGTAATATCGTGAATTGATTGAAGTTAGATATTAACACCGTCGAATACTGGCTCGGTAGTCTAGAGGTTTGTTATAACTCGTGACTGCCGATTAGTGAGCAGTGACTTATCGATCGGACCAATGACGCGTAAAACACGTGCGAGCAGCCTAGAGTTCTGATTGGTCCTGCTTTCCGTCTAGCTCAGCCAATTAAGTCTAGAACACAAGTCTCAGCCTCTACGATATGAATCATTTATTTCAAACATACTCCGTTTATATACCAATCAAGCAGACAACATCGTACCATAAAATACAAAATAACATTTGTACAATATTTGGCCAACAGGAAAATGACACGTGAAATAAATATTGACCAATAGGGAAATCATACCATTTCAAGTCCAAGGATAGCATTAGAATTAACAGGATAATTTTCGGGATATTTTTCTGAATATCTCAACAAGGTTAAGTGTTCGCTCGCGAGACTGAAGGTTCGAATCCCTCATGCGAGATCATGGGCGTGCATTGTTGATGAGTCCCATAGTAAGACGAAAGGTCCATCGATTGATCCCAGGTTTTCCATGGTGATCTAGCTTTGCTCAATTCATGAATTCAACTATCATTCATTTTATTTTGTTTCACACAGTACACAGGGAATATTTAATCTTAATTCAAAATATTAAATTCAGAGAATTTTAATCTACTATGATTATCAATAATATCCATTTATATGGTTGTATTAGTTAATTAGAAGGAAAACTACAATTAACTAAATACCATAATTGAATTTCACCTTTGATTATGACTAAAAAGATTTTTTGTGAAATAAGAAGATACTTGTTTTATAGAACTTACTCTGAAATGATAGAGAAGATTTGTAACTCGGGTGGATGATTTGGTTGTTGTGGAGTTCTCTTAGTTGAATAATTTAATGACGAAGCTTATATTTTCATCACGGGTAAGGATACTGGCGTTTAATTCATGTAGAAATAAGCGTTTTGTCTACTTGATTTTTATAAACGTCAATTCAGTTCGTTGTAATTCACAGTTTTCTAATAAAACTTCAGGTAAACTATCTTGAATCAAGTCACTTGTGAGTAAATGTTTATTATCATTATGGGTATTTGTGGAGATTGTAGTATTTCCACAGTTGAATTCACGAGTAGATCCAAGCTATATCACCATTGAAAACCTTAAAGAACTAGACGGTTGTTTCATCCCAGTGTGGTAATACTCAGCAGTGCGCATCCACGACCCTGCACTCAGGACTCAAACGCACGACCTTAAGCCTCGTGCGCGAACAATTAACTTTCAGATCACTGAGCTAACAACTTCAATTAGTTCATGACCTTGCGCGATACTTCATCCATTATCATCATTCCTCCTTCTGTTCTTGTTCGCTATTGTAACAGGTTGACTTTCAATAATGTGGTCGATTGGTCTTTGCCATGTAGCTTGATATGTAAGATTTACGTAGATCTATCTACTGACTGTCGATTGATCTCAATGTCATGTTTTCAGTTCCTTTAATTTTTCTGGTCTAGATTCTGGATAATTATTATATCATCTATCTTACATAGCTTAACACCACCACCACAAACATCTCCTTGATCAGAACTATTTATTCTTTATTTATTTTACTTATGCAGGACCAAAAGACACTAAACTTAACTAACTATTGTTTACGACGCGGTTATTTGTGGGTTAGTGTATGCAAAGTGCTAGTATTTTTATTAGCTTTATTCAATATTATATTTTTGGGAAAATATGGAATTCTCACCGCAAAGTATTTCAACAGGTTTCCGTTTCTTATTTCTTGATCGATCCTGACGATAAACATTGAGTGATCGCCAGTTAGATGTTAGCAGTTCAGGAATCGACGTCTGAATAATGTTCATTCTTTTCGATGTATATTCCAGCAATCACAATGTCTCTGATTGTGCTCGTTCCTAACTTGTACAGCGAAAGGTCGTGAACTTTTCACAAACGCACCTGAATAGGTTGTGCAAATAATTGACATAGTGATCTGTTGAAACAAAGAAAAGACAGATCACTTATTAAAACATCTAGATGGCGGGAACAGGTAGCCCAGATATTCAAGCAGACCGCCTAAAGTGTCCAGTTTTTTCCAATTTTCAATGGCTGTACAACTAGGGTTGTTCTTTCTGTGTAAAACTATATAATTCATAATTATTATGAGGTAGTTTTCATCATACAAACTGAAGAATCAACAAAATCGTTTAAGCATTATTGACTGTTAGAGTTAATTGTACATTAATAGCACCGCATAATTATTGTGCCCCATCACTATTTCGCAGTAGTTGAGACTTTTGTACATTCAGATTTCAACCGAGCAATGTGAAGCCATTTTGTTTGCTACAGGGAATAAAGTTTCCGAATAAACCCGAGTGCGGACTACTGAGAAATACTAACTGAGAATGGAATAGTTGTTCAGTGGTTCCTATTGTTCACAAGTTTTCCGTTTGAGAAATGTTCTTAGTGATGAAAATTGGTTTCATTTTAAAATCGTTCCTAAAATTTCCTCCATTAAATTAATATTTCTATTTTGGCGAGATTATAATTTATGGACTACGCTCGAGCAACGTTAAATTGGTCTTGTGAAAATTCACCTACTTAATAGGGTCAAAAGAGGCATTAGGATTGGGATTTAAAGTTAGAAGTCAAATCCAAGAATTAGAATTTCCATCTATGAGTTGACATAAGCTATAATGTTGAATTGCTATTTAGTCATATTGTAATGAACAAGAATAAATGTAGGAACAACCAGTCGTATTTAAATACAAAATTGCAGAATCTCTTGGTAAAATAATGAAAACCATATATGGAATAATTGATTTGCAAATTTACATCATTTGTCTATTACATTCTGTTTGATTCTTTCAGTTCACAATTCCCTTCTATTTCTCTTTCTATCCTCATCACCTTGATCTTCTTAGCCTTCCACTGCCAGGTTTTCCACTTCCAAATGGTGTTACATACTACTGATATCTGTTAATATATACATATATATCATCCACCACAATATGGATGAGTAAATTTCATGCCAAAATCCAAGATTTAAGTCCCATTGATTCATTCATAGATTATAGTCTAACCCTATTTTTCCTACCGGTATATTAGATGTTAGACGGTAGAATAAATGAAATATACACTTCAAAAGTTTGTTTTTCTTTCCATATATGTAATCATCCTAGTTTAATCAAATATCTCAAATTAGGTATCATTATCAAAGTTTGACTTGATAATTTTGAATAAATTGAGCATTGAGTAGATTATGTGATGGTGGACAAGATTTTTAGCTCAGGTGGATGATTTTGATAGAGTTTTGTCTTGTGAGCTGGATGGTTTGGTCGTAAAGTTTTCATCATCATCACACACTTCAGATAGAAGTGTCGTTGATTATTATATAAATAAAATAAATTAGTATGTTTGCGATATCCAAATGAGTAGAAAAATTAGATTTTCTAACGTTTCGTCACTTAATTGTGGCCACTTCTTCAGAGAATAAATAACCAAATCAATTAATATTTTAAAAGTTTAATTCATTGGATAATGTAATTTTATTCATGTAAATACATTATGAATGATAACGTGATATATTACAATGTTAATGATGAATCATATCATGAATGAGTAAAGTAACAAAAGCCAAAAAGCCAAAACTAATCTGTTCTATTAAAAAAATACAAACAAACAAACAAACTATTCAATTATCAATTGTAAATCATGTAACATTGAACATTGTAAGTTTTATAAATTAAGTAAACTTTAGACTTTATACTTATAATTATCTAAAGTTTATTTCATTTTTATGATAAAACGTCATATATCAATGGTAATAACCTGTAGATCTAATAAGTTCAATTATAATTGATTATTTCGATAGTGAATCATTTGAAAATATTATATAAATATATAAATAGTAATTGTTAAATATAAGTTTAATGAACAAAAATGAATGGTAGCTATTTGAGACTCGTCAGTTGAATGTACTTTTACATTCAACAGTTGATGTACACTCTGAGACTCAAATATAATACCTTTCACTATAAAAACCATCACGTTATTCACTTAGCTATTGAGTACTGATAGACACTAGCTCGTGTAATTTGATGAAGTTGAAATTCAAGTGGAGTGAACATCAACTGTGAGATGCAGGTACATCCAGATGATGAATTTCAAAAACGATGAAACGCGTGTCCTACATTCCATCAACAGCCACTATCCATCGTTGTTTAAAATGCTTATGACTAAAGACAATATGGAGGCAATGAGCAAAGTATGCATATATGCCAATAAGAGATTAATCAATTTCAGTTCGGAACATCAATGGGAAGATTGAAGTAAACAATAGGAAGTGAATTTTGTGATATATTTTGTCGATGTGTTTGATAGAATAAAGTACGTTATAAATGAATCATGAGTTTCCAAATATTAGAACTGATTATCGAATGAATCAATCAACCATAATGTTTGGAACAATTCAATGTTTTAATTTTCATTATTGGTAATAAATAGTGAAAAGGCTATAAACAGAGGTTGATGGGGGTAGAAATCTCATCATCATCATCATCATCATCATCATCATCATCATCATCATCATCATCATCATCATCATCATCATCATAGTCACCATCATCACCATAGTCACCATCATCACCATCATCACCATCATCATCATCATCACCATCATCATCATCATCATCATCATCATCATCATCATCATCATCATCATCATCATCATCATCATCATCATCATCATCATCATCATCATCATCATCATCATCATCATCATCATCATCATCATCATCATCATCATCATCATCATCATCATCATCATCATCATCATCATCATCATCATCATCATCATCATCATCATCATCATCATCATCATCATCATCATCATCATCATCATCATCATCATCATCATCATCATCATCATCATCATCATCATCATCATCATCATCATCATCATCATCATCATCATCATCATCATCATCATCATCATCATCATCATCATCATCATCATCATCATCATCATCATCATCATCATCATCATCATCATCATCATCATCATCATCATCATCATCATCATCATCATCATCATCATCATCATCATCATCATCATCATCATCATCATCATCATCATCATCATCATCATCATCATCATCATCATCATCATCATATCATCATCATCATCATCATCATCATCATCATCATCATCATCATCATCATCATCATCATCATCATCATCATCATCATCATCATCATCATCATCATCATCATCATCATCATCATCATCATCATCATCATCATCATCATCATCATCATCATCATCAATCATCATCATCATCATCATCATCATCATCATCATCATCATCATCATCATCATCATCATCATCATCATCATCATCATCATCATCATCATCATCATCATCATCATCAATCATCATCATCATCATCATCATCATCATCATCATCATCATCATCATCATCATCATCATCATCATCATCATCATCATCATCATCATCATCATCATCATCATCATCATCATCATCATCATCATCATCATCATCATCATCATCATCATCATCATCATCATCATCATCATCATCATCATCATCATCATCATCATCATCATCATCATCATCATCATCATCATCATCATCATCATCATCATCATCATCATCATCATCATCATCATCATCATCATCATCATCATCATCATCATCATCATCATCATCATCATCATCATCATCATCATCATCATCATCATCATCATCATCATCATCATCATCATCATCATCATCATCATCATCATCATCATCATCATCATCATCATCATCATCATCATCATCATCATCATCATCATCATCATCATCATCATCATCATCATCATCATCATCATCATCATCATCATCATCATCATCATCATCATCATCATCATCATCATCATCATCATCATCATCATCATCATCATCATCATCATCATCATCATCATCATCATCATCATCATCATCATCATCATCATCATCATCATCATCATCATCATCATCATCATCATCATCATCATCATCATCATCATCATCATCATCATCATCATCATCATCATCATCATCATCATCATCATCATCATCATCATCATCATCATCATCATCATCATCATCATCATCATCATCATCATCATCATCATCATCATCATCATCATCATCATCATCATCATCAATCATCATCATCATCATCATCATCATCATCATCATCATCATCATCATCATCATCATCATCATCATCATCATCATCATCATCATCATCATCATCATCATCATCATCATCATCATCATCATCATCATCATCATCATCATCATCATCATCATCATCATCATCATCATCATCATCATCATCATCATCATCATCATCATCATCATCATCATCATCATCATCATCATCATCATCATCATCATCATCATCATCATCATCATCATCATCATCATCATCATCATCATCATCATCATCATCATCATCATCATCATCATCATCATCATCATCATCATCATCATCATCATCATCATCATCATCATCATCATCATCATCATCATCATCATCATCATCATCATCATCATCATCATCATCATCATCATCATCATCATCATCATCATCATCATCATCATCATCATCATCATCATCATCATCATCATCATCATCATCATCATCATCATCATCATCATCATCATCATCATCATCATCATCATCATCATCATCATCATCATCATCATCATCATCATCATCATCATCATCATCATCATCATCATCATCATCATCATCATCATCATCATCATCATATTTTGCAATTTTTATGCTTCTTTTCTAAGGTTTCCATGATTTGAGTCTGTACTGTATAAATGACCCATCCATTTGGCATAGTTTTTATGAAAACAATAATTGGCCTTCTATTGATCTACAATGCCGAATAAATAGTCGATGATGATTTGTACACATTCACATGGAGCTATTCATTGTAACAACGATTTTCTTTTGCTGAGACTTCACTTTCATACATACTTATTCCAATTTTAATTGTACTATTAGAAATTTAAGGTCAATTCAATATTAAATTCATTTTGCTGTTGTTTTTGTTGTTCTGGTTGTTGTCAGTTCTCGTTTTCATAAACATAATAATAAATAAACATTGATCATTTTCTTTTATTTCTAGATTAATTTCACCGCTACATATAGACTTGATTCAACAATACATTTACCATATGGAAAAGTTATAGAAAATCTAGAATATCATCAAAAGCCTAATGATAGTAGTAGTGATATTAGTAGTATGTAGTATTATTAGTAGTATTAATAGTAGTATTGGGGATTTGTTTAAACCACGAAATATATCTGCATTGAAAAAGAAAACTGTAGCATGGATTGTAAGTAATTGTCATCCGAAGAGCCCAAGAAATTTATACGCTTATGAGTTATCAAAATATATCACTGTAAGTATCTTTAAAATTGATTTCTTGAAAACATTTATTCGATTTGGTTATAATATTCTTTAAGAAGCGATTTTTTCATAGTGAATACTCTTTTTTTTAATTATCATATTATGTCAAACTATGAAACAAACCAATATGAACCAGTAGTAGTGATGTATGCTACTTATATCTATCGACAGACATAAGTAGTATATTAACACCAATCAAAAATGGAATGTCTGCCAATAGAAAGTTAAGAAGATCGAATTGAACAGAACATAGATTTAAACATGAAGTAATTGTACTAACAACAATAGTGAATGATTGATGAAGTCTGTAAGAGATGAATAATGGATAATGTGCAAAGGAATTATGTACTTTATGATTTTCATGATTTTTGAAGATATTCTCTACTTTTATATTAAACAATAAATTAGTTTTGCCCATCTGATTGTTCATTCACAACATCATTGCGACTCAAGGTTATATCGAGGCAATCCGTACAGGATGCACATATCCTAATAAGAGACTGATTAGTTGTAGTCTTAAATAACAAATGGAAGATATAAGTGAAACAACACCAAGTGAATTTAGTATTTTGACATCTCTAAATAACTGTGAATAACTTTCGATAATTGATTGTTGTCTTTTAATTTCTCTTCAAGTATCATGTTTTTTTTTCCATTAGGCATTATAATCTTCCTACTTTGGAATATGAAGACAAATTAATAATTAGATTTGAATGAGAAGATGTTTTTGACATTAATTATGAAAATAAGAAACACATATTCAATTGTATTTGATAACAGTAACTACATACTTAATCAAGACTTCTCAGTTTATATCACCATACTGACTTATCTCAATCAATTTTGAGATTCATTTCACTGAATTTATTATTCCAATTTTGTATATCATGTAACTTACCACATAAATACTAGTAGCTTACGAGTATCTTCATCTTGATAACTTCTCGATATCACGATATGGTGTGTCAACTAAGGGTAATTCACATGTGGGCAGTCAAACCAAAATGTGGCATCAGTGCTTGAAGTCACTAACTTCTAGTCTGAGCCATGTTGGTAGATGCAGACTACTTGGTTGGGGTTCGCGTGACTATCGTAACCAATGGTTGGAGGCTCTATGTGACGTGGCTCAGAATCGATCACAATGGCGTCGGTGTATACACTTTCTGTCTTCCTTTAAACCGTGAGATTGAAATTGCTCAATATCTTTCTTTCTACGAACTAATTCTTTCTTCCTGTACTTAATCCGTATACGCAATCTTTCTTTTGTATATCACCACCTCTGAATTAACTGCTTCTATGAATCCGGTGTCCATCTTGTTGTGTTAATGAGGTATGACAACTTGGAACGATGCACATATATGTGCATCTATTCGATATTCACTGACCCAATTGTCGTATAATTTCACTATGGTTCAGTGACATTTCACTAACCCTACAATTCTGAATATACTTTGATAATAATATGTTTCAGTATTTTTCTTTTAATCATAACATTTCTCAATTATTATCATCCATTACTCATATCACTTACTCATTTATAAATAAAGGTTGATATATACGGTAAATGTAGTCAAAGAAAATGTCAAGATTCAAAATGTCATAAAATGTTAAAAGAACAATACAAATTCTATTTAAGTTTTGAAAATTCTCTTTGTCAAGATTATATAACAGAAAAATTTTTTGAAAACGCTTTGATGTAAGTTCTTCACTTCATATACATCTCTCCAAATTGTTGTACACTTTTGAACAGTTTAATCTTTTCTGTATAAGTGGAATTATCTATGAAATCACTGGATTAGATACAATTGTTAAGTTCAGACATTATGAATGTGGGGCTGTTTCCACTGGAGAAGTTAAAAGATGGTTGAGTAATGTCGTGAATTGATTACGGTTGGATATGTAAATCATTAAATGTCAACTTGGTAATGTAAAGGTTAAGCGCCTTCCGCGAGACTTAATGGCATTGAGTTTGATCACTGGCGGTCTTGGATTCATACTGATGATTTAAATCACGCTATCACGAAACAACTATCCAGTTGTTTCTGGCTTTCAGTAGTTTTTTAATTGACATCATTTCGTGATCTTAACCATAAAACTCAAAAATAACCACGAAGCCCCTGCATCAAAAGTCAAAAATTCTCCAGTATTATTCAAATATTTTTCAACAAGAGAATCTTCAAATTTTCTCAAATATGAAACCATTGGATTTATTGTTGTAAATATCTTTTTCTGGTTTAATACTTCTGGTTAATTAATTAACAGTCCAATGTATTCTCCAGCATTTTCCTATGGAGACGTATACTAGACGGGCACAATATATGATTAAAGACGGATAGTGGCCAATAGCAGAATCCAGGACGCGCGTTTCGTCCTATATGTGACTCATCAGCTGGATGTACATGCATCCCACAGTTGATCTTCACTCTGGGACTCGAACCCACTACCGTTCGCTTCAAACGTCATCGCTTAATCCATTCAGCTACTGAGTCCTCATAGCCACTGGCAATATCTAGGCAATATGCACAGTATGCAAATATACTAATAAGAGACTGATCAATTGCAGTCCTAACATCAATGGGAAGATTCAAGTAAACAATACTAAGTGAATAGTGTATGATTCTGTAAATTCTACATAAGTAAACATTATTATACTTTTAAAAAAAGTACAGAAATAAAAATTTAATTAACAGGAAAGATTTTAAAATGGCAAGTAAGAACTATAAAAAGACAAATGAAATACAAATGTAAAGTTATACAACAAAATTTATAATCAGTATGGCGATTGGTGGATGTTGTAGTATTTCAGCAGTTGGATTCACTAATCGATCTAAGCTAGACCACCATTGGAAAGCTGGAAGCATTGAATGAAGGTTCGCGCAAGATCATGAATCGATCGAAGTTAGACACTAAAACAGTTGAATGCCAGCTCAGTGTTTTAGAGGTTAAGTGTTCGTGAACAAGACCGAAGGTCGTGAGCTCGAGTTCTGAGTGAGGGATAGTGGATGTGCACTGCTGAGTATCCTTATATTGGGACAAGACGGCCATCTAGTGCTCCCAGGTTTCCAATGGTGGTCCAGCTTAGATAGACTCGAGAATTCAAGTCTTAAAATATTTTTTGTTTAGAGGAAGATATTGTGAGTACATTTGAACTATTTTAACTGATTTTTGGCAAAACTGGTTGATTTTTAAATGTCAATTCCTGACACTTCATAAACTCAACAGGACAGAAATATTTTCTCTTACTTAGCACAAAACAGCATTTATTATGTCTGCGGATCGGTGTTATGTATTAAACTAAACGTACCTATATATTTTCCAAGCTAGTCCTAACGTTGTTCGCTTGAGTCCTTACGAGGTTAAAACTTCACAAACTAATGTATATGTACCAGCTAGATCTGCACTCCTTAGCTCATTACTGCTCAATTTTTGGTTCTAGTTTTTTTTCAGAACGTTTTTGGTTCTTGCATTCGATTAGGCGTACATACTAATCTTAAACATGGTTCTTTCATTTAAATGGATATTTCATATATAGAAGTTATTTGCAATTAATGAAAAACTACCTTATGGAGATTAAGAATCGATTTATGTTAGAAAATTATTTAAAGCCTGGAATCACTGGATAACCATTTTGTCTTAGCGTAGGACTCTCCAACAGTGAAAACTCACGACCTTGTAACCAGGGATCTAAAGCAAAACCTTCGGTCTCGCATGCGAATGCTTTATCTACCGACCGCCGAGTCAAGTTCCAGTAGTGTACAAGTCCAACTTCAATTAATGGCCATTTGACATAGATCGGTTCGAGATCTCGAGAGAATTTAACGATCTCCACAACCCTATTGTATTAACATTTCATATCAATAAGTTCACAAGATATATATTTTACCAAAACTTGCAATAATGTTTTTAAAAAGTGTTTATATGTTTGTTATCACTATGCTTCTACGCTTATTCAATAGATTATTTCATATGGACTTTTTTGATTTTTAAGGAATGATGTTATACCAGTTGTAATGGGTGCATCAATTGAAGAATACAAGAGTGTAGCACCACCGAATTCTTTCATACATGTTGATCAGTTTTCTAGTCCAAGACAATTAGCTGAATATTTACATTATCTAGACAAAAATCATACAGCATTTAATGAATATTTCATTTGGCAGAATAAATGGAAAGTATTATCATTTCCTGGACGACCAGAATGTGATTTTTGTTTATTGGCTAATGCTTTGCCTAGTCTCAAACCGTCTTGGTATAGTGATATTAATTCATGGTTTGACAAAAGTTGTCAAGAAAGGAAGCTGAAATGGAAAGGTATGCATATTTTTGGATGGGGACATGAGGTGAAATGTTATTCATTATTAAGTTTTTCTTTGTATTTTAATACAGCCTCTTTAAAAGTCTGTAAAATAATTTAGAAGTGGTAACTTTGGTTTGCCTTTTTTCTCACAGATTTGCTGGGAGAAACGTAGCTTAATAGGCTTTTGATCATTTAATATAACACCATTCTCAGAAACAAAGACTTCTCCTAGAATAACAATATATCTATGCAGAATTTTTGTACTAAGTCTGGAAAAACAACGCAATACAGTTTCAGTCGGAGTGAACGTAAAATTCCCCAGCGATACGGGAGACAATATACTTTATTTAAAGCGGAATGTTATCTGTTAATTGAAATTTACTCTTCAATATCCCAAAACTAGAACTGCACAATCAGGCTTCAGTGTTATTATTATAACTCAAGAAAGTCAAACATTCTTTAAGAGATTAGTTCATTTAAAAAACGTACCGATAAAATCACTTTTTGATATCTCTGTAACGTAACACAGTTCACTAAAAATTACCCCTAGTAATACTGGGAAAAGAGATTGTAGTGAACAAGACCAAAATTACAGAACATCTTAGAAAAGTCTGAGAACCATACAATAAATACTTCATTTGCAAAATATCAGTCAGTCGGCTCAGACTTCAATGTTCATGCATATATATATATATACCTGACGTTTGTGCTGATGATGTCGTTCAGAAGAACGAGGAAAGCTCCACGATCAAACCATCCAGCTCGGAGAACAGAACTCCATCAAAAACATCCACCTGAGCTACAAATCTTCCCCATTATCTTCGACTGTCCATATTTTACACCCAGTAGTTCTAAGATCACTGAACCAATATATATATATATATATATATATATATATATATATATATATATATATATATATATATATATATATATATATATATGAGAATTAGTAACTGTTTATATTGCCATTGTCATGAAACAAGACAATGTAGAAAGTATCATATTACTTAACTAACATGTTACATTATGTTAGTAAAGTAAATTTTTAATCAGTTTGTCCACACTTCTTTAATTTGAGGACAAATTTCATCATATAATATTAATAATAATCGGAAAACTGTAGAAAATTGAAAAAGAACTAAATGAAAACTATTTTTTGTATATAGAGTCTTCTTCATAGTGCCAATCTCATTTTAAATCAACTACCATCCAATGTTGAAGTCAAAATCCATCCACATTCTGAATGTGATTGGTTTTATAAGCAACTACTTCTCAATTACAATTTAAGATATTCGTATAGATTAAGACATTTAAAGATTACTTAGTCTTTTTTCCTGATTTAAGTAATTTAGTATCAGAAGGGGTTTTGTGGACATTGTAGTAATTTCAAAAGTTGAGATCATGAGTCAATTGAAGCTAGACCGCCATGGAAAACCTGGAAGCACTGGACGGCCGTTTCGTCCTATTGTGGGACTCCTCAGCAGTGCGCATCCACGACCCCGCCCTGTGGGACTCGAACCCAGGACTTATCAGTCTCGCACCGGGCGCTTAAACAACTAGGCCACTGAGCCAGCACTCAATGGTGTTGATGTCTAAATTCAGCTAATCCACGAAATTGAGTGACACATCCACCATTTTCATCAGTGAGCTACTATCTCACAACTGACCTGGTTGAACTCTATTGGTCACTGCTTCTCACTAGAACTCCACGATATACCTCTTGAAGCCAGTCACTAGTGAACATATGTTGATTAGTATCAAAAGGGGTTTGGTGGAGATTATAGTAATTTATGCAAAATTGATTCAGAGGTCTAGTTATTCTATCATATCTCATTCATCAATGGATCTGAAACATTTAAGACGTCTTGTTAAGTTAGTTATAAAACAATTAAGTATTTGAATTTTTGGCATGATAACTAGTTATCTTATTTACTGTAAAAAAAATGTGCTTATATCCTTACTAATGTTAAAAACTAAGAAGGATCAATTTGTATTTTCTATCGCTTAAAATGTAGATCTATTTGTAAAATTACATTTGAAATCGAAGTCTCAAGCTGTATTGTTTTCTGATATATTTCACTCACTACAAAAGTTCTAGGTTTACATTGTATTCAAAATTATGTCGAAGAGCTAATGAATGAAATAAGAAATCTCTGTCATTACATTATGGTTTCCAATTTTAATCAACTGGATTATTTGATTAAGTATTTTAGGGTTTCAATGGTTAAGATCATGAGTCAGTTGAAGCTAGACCACCATGGAAAACCTGGAAGCACTGGACGGCCGTTTCGTCCTATTGTGGGACTCCTCAGCAGTGCGCATCCACGACCTCGCCCCCTGCGAGATTCGAACCCAGGACCTACTGGTTTCGTGAGGTAGTAACTCACTGAAGACAATGGTGAATGTGTCGCTCGATTTCGTGGATTAGTTGAAGTTAGACATTAACACCGTTGGATGCCGGCTCAGTGGTCTAGTAGTTAAGTGCTCGGGCGCGAAACCAGTAGGTCCTGGGTTCGAATCTCGCAGGGGGCGAGGTCGTGGATGCGCACTGCTGAGGAGTCCCACAATAGGACGAAACGGCCGTCCAGTGCTTCCAGGTTTTCCATGGTGGTCTAGCTTCAACTGACTCATGATCTTACCCATTGAAATTACTATAATCTCCACAAAAACCCATTTGATATTTTAGGGTTTTTATTGATTCGAATTTACATGGGTAAAACAGTATCTATGTAATGTTTGTGTAACCTGGAATTCAAAGTTTCGAATACTTTACATAGTTTAGAATATTCTTACAATGATAGATTTGCTTAAAATAATCTATGATTAGATAATTAGCTAAGATAAACATTCGGTTACACAATGATACTTCATTATTGATTCAACCCACTCACTATTTCTTACTTTAGTGTGAATACACACTTGTTCTTGATTATTGATCAGATATAATTAGGTCGAATGTAATTCATGATCAAGTATCGTGTTTTAGGGATAGTAAAATCATCAATTCAACTCTGATTTTCTCATTATAACAACACATATCAGTGAACAAGTATTTTTCTCAATTAAATCATTAGGTTTAACTCTACTATAAAACAGAATATTTATATGGATATACGAAAATATCAAATCAGCCAAGATAATTTATGAGTTCATGATAACAATGAAATGGATTGAATAATTGAACATGATAGGTAAAAAGAATACAGATCGATAGTAAATAGGCAGGTATAATAGTAGTGATAAGATATAATAACAATTCGATATAACAATTTTAACATAGAAACTAAATCAACGACCTGGATATGTAGACTTTAAAATAATCGTCACTAAAAACCATTAAAATCACATAATAACTGTGTGAACTATAATATACGTAATGAACGAGAACATATAGGGATGATCAATTGTAATCCAATACGAAATTACAGAATCTTTCAGTAAAATATAAGAACCATACACTGAATATTTCATTGGCGAATTTCCATCATTTGTCCTTCACATTCTGTATGATCCTTCTAGTTCACAATTCCTTCCTATTTCTGTTTCTATTTTTTTCAAATTGACCCTCATAGCATTCTACTGTCATGCATTCCTCTTCTGATTGGTGTTACAAACTACTGATATCGGTCGACATAAGTAGCATACATCACATATGCGTCAGAACTGATATTAAAATATAATAAAAAATCATTTTAGTGAACTAGTAAACAAATCACTCCCTGCCTGGAATAAACAGTAACAGTACAGTTAAATCAAACATATACTCTCTCAATTCTAGTTGTTTATAATTTTATGTTGCTTCATAAACAGTAGTATAGAAGAGATTAGGAAATAATTCTGAAAACTTAAAATAACTGAATACTTACAGTGAAAATATCGAAGTTTAAGTTGTAATATTCTTATTCAAAACAAAATAAAAGTCTATGAACTGCGATTTGTAATGATTGAGAAGCATGTTTATTGAAAAAGACAGCGCATGAAAAATAGAATTGATCATTCAATCATATCGAGAATGACTGATCAATTGCAGTCCTAAATAACAATGGGAAGATACGAGTAAACAATACCAAGGGAATTTGAAACTTCACCCCATTGCAGGACTCAGCAGCTAAGTGGATAACGTGATGGCGTTTGAAGTGAATGGTACTGCGTTGGAGTTCAAAAGTGAACATCAGCTCTGAGATGTATGTATATCCAGCTGACGAGTCCCAAATAGGACGAGACGCGCATCAGACTGCATTCCACTGTTAGTCACTATCCATCTTTGCTTATATCAGTTACCTAGTTTGGGAAAATTTCGTCGACTTGTGGATCTATCTATTATATCATGTTGTTTATTATAAATAGGCTTGGAAAATATTTCTTGAATTACTTATTGAGGAACCATAATACATTGTTTGTACTATTATCGTAGAATTCAGTTATCATATCTGCTCACTGAATTAAATCTTGTTTCAACATCCATTACACAAGTAAATAAACATTTCAGTTTCCATTTACTTATACGTTCTTGGATTAGATCCATTTTGGAATTGTTGATATCTAGTAGTGCCTAGTTCTTTTATAGGATGAAACAGTTGTCCGATGCTACCTAACTTTCAATGAGTGACCAACATAGGTCTATTCGTGGTAACTACAAGATTCAAGAATTAAATGTAAAATATCGATTTTGTACAAATGCAAAAGTTGTGTCAGCTATGTCGTTTAAGCTGAAGTTGAGGTATAAAAACAGAATATCAACGAGGAAAAACTGAAACAAAAAGTAAAATTAGACTGATATGAGAAGTGAATTCATGTATTTTGAGTATGATAGAGTCAATAACACTTTATTTTGATTGAAGTCAAATCAAATAACATTGGACATTTGTTCAATGTTTAGAATACTGTTTCATTTTCATGTAGTCATGTATTCTACAAGGCAAATATTCATATGAAAACTAAACATAAACTACCACATAATAGTAAAGGATTGATTATGAAAATATGATGTAAATGAAATAATGAAGATCATCTTTCCTTCATCACTTGTCACACTAAACTTTGAATATTTTTTCAGTGACTTTTCAACATAACCTAAGTATCTCTGTAATACTAAGTATTAAGAAATCTGAAAAATAATCTTCATGATATATATTAGAAGTTAAGTCTGCTCAATCAGTCAAAAACAACTACGGAAAGCTGGTTATGATGTTGGATTTAACTGTCCGTAGAGCTTGGAAATTAAACCAAAATTTACAGTACATTCAACAGTGTTCTACATTTTAAATATTAAAGACTTGAACACAAATTCAATGACGGATGTTTATATTCGGCGCCTAAACATTGATGCACAGTATCATGAGGCGAATATGTTTGAACCATCTTTACTTTAATTTTCAACGTAAGTCTTATAGGATGCTTAGAATCAGCTATACCACAATAATAATCACTTCAATTATTTTTTTTCTGAATTAAAGAGATTTAAATACCTTGTTGTGTATGTGTGAAAACTTAGTCAGTTACTATATTAACGAGATTCTTTTATGTCACAAACAACTTGGGTTCTAATGTTTACTTAAGTTTGTTTAATAATGAAAATTATAATCAAAACGTTGTTTTCTCAATGTTTATAACTTTCTCTAGTAATCTTAATATTTGAATAATCAGCATCTTATTAATTCAATAGTTGTATTCAGGAGTCAATTGAAGCTAGACCACCATTGAAAACGTAGAAGCATTTGACGGCCGTCTAGTCCTACTACGAAGAGTCTCATACTAGGACGAAACGGCGCAATATGAAAAATATTAGTAGATTTAGTGTTAACCAAGTATTGGCTAGCGCTGATTGGTTGAGAATTAGCCAATCAGCGTGCAGCAACGCAATCATGCATTAAGGATGCATTAATCCAATCTATAACCCGTTAACAAACGGCCGTCCAGTGCTTCTAGGTTTTCAATGGTGATCTAGCTTCAATTGACTCATGAATTCAACTATTAAATTACTATAATATACACAAAACCCCTCTCTGATTATTATTAACTGTTTACCTAAAACAACATAGTTATATAACCATACAACAGTCTACAGCTTCCTTAATTACCTTATTACTGGTATAATGATTCATGTAACCATGAGTACTGGAAACAATTTTAGGTAAGTAACAATACACTACCTCTTATTCATACATTTTTGTTTTAACAGTTAGACAATTTACAATTATTACATCTCAGATAAGTTATATTTTAACATTTTTGTTGTGTTCTTTTCAAATTTTATAGGAAGCCAAAAAGATTTCTCTGCAGCTATTTGGTTTTCTAATTTAAAACAAAATAAGAACCCTGTACCTACATTGACCAGTTCATAAATGAAATAAGAATCATGGAAGAAAATGTTTATGATCGACCAATGATATCTCATGAAGAAATATGTCATGAAGGTGTGGTGGTGTGAAAATAAAAGATTTCCAGTTTTGTTCTTTATGACTTCCCTTTTTTGTATGGTCTGTAGATTGTTTTTTTACTGGTATAAAAATAAAAAAATACTTAAATGACTATACTTGAGATGTTTTTATAAGTTTCGAAAAACCGGTGGATTCAAACAAGGGAAAATGTTTGGATTTCTTAACAAAGATAGATACTGGCTAACAATGGAATTCCGGAGGCGTGTCTCATCCTATTCGGGTCTCGTCAGTTGGTTGTATCTGCATCTCAGAATTGATGTACACTTTAAGACTCTAACCCAGTATCGTTCACTTCAAACGCCATCGTGTTATTCACTTAATTACTGAGTCCTGATAGCCAATTGCTTGTGCAATAGGGTGAAGTTTAAATTCACTTTGCTTATAATGCTTGTGAATTGAGGCAATATCAAGGCAATGAGCACAGTATGCACATATGATAATAAGAGAATGATCAATTGTAGTTCTAAACATCAATGGGAAGATTCAAATAAGCAACATCATGTTTAGATTTCTGTTATAATTACTTCCCATTGAACGACTGATTAGAGTTAACTGGATAATGAGTCACATTTCGATTGATGTTCATTGTCTCACAACATAGATCAAAGTAATCTTATAACTAAACAGAAGATTTATATCTCATTAAACCAAGTACTTATGAGCTTCTGATTGAAAACATCAGATTAAATAGATTATTGAAATTTCATTGTTTGGGTGAGAAAATTGTTGGGGCTTAGGATCCGTTTATATTTCCAAGAATAATTTTGACGAACATTTTCATATTCAACTTCACGACCTACTTATTAATGGTATAAATTATCGCAAACATGTGGAACAGATTGTTTGGTTACTTTTATATAGTTTTCAAATTGAAAAGGATTTGGTATTATAAATGAAGATGTTGAGGATGATTCTGTTGATAGTTTTCTGACAAAACCTAATATCGTGTTGCTTAGAGTAAGTGACTCTGTTGATCACCAGAATTCTCAAGTTATTTGAGAAATCGATGGGTTCAATTCATTCAGGTACATAGATAATTCCCAATTTATACTTAAACTATCATCATATATCAAACTACATTCCCCATGTGATAAATTATATATTTGAAGCTCATGTCGATTTCCTTGTCCTCGGTGCTACAAATACTAGAATTTTGGTAATGTATGATCGAAGAATGTAATGAATGGTAGTTTGCTTAGCCAGACTAGTAAATAGTCTAACAGGTATTAGATGAGTTATATATTTTCCTACCTTTATTATTACTGTGATTGTTGTCGGCTGTCGGCATGGCAATATACTTACTTCCTAGTCATGCCAGTCACGTGTTCTTGATCTGAGTTTTGTTGAGATCCTGTAAAATAGACACTGGGAGGGTATCTAGTGTAGATATTCGTCTCAGTTGTGTAATGAAGAAAATAGCGTTATTCCATTTGGATAAATAATTAACGTATGTAAAGTCTGTAATTCATTAAATGCTAAAACATTTGAGTGGTTGTTGATCTAATTAAACTAGTTTAAATGACAGAATTGATTTAATGGCACTTACCGCTGTCTAAATGGTTTGAATAATTTTTTCTCATTAGCGTATTTTTTAGTGAGTTAGTTTTTCTAAGTGATGGGTTCGCTAACCCCATGCCCAACCCTCCTCCTTTATCCGGGCTTGGGAGCCCCAGAGTGGCTCCAGGCGGAAGAAGACCAAAGAACACATTACGCCAAGGAATGAAGACAGACATGAGAAAAATGAACAAAAATAGGATATAACTGGAAAGGAATGCCTAAGATAGAGTGGATTGGAGAATGCTAGTTGACGGCCTATGATCCACTGGGAGTAACAGGCGTAAATAAGTAAGTGAGTAAATAACCGCTATCTAAAGTAATACTTAATATTGGACACACAAATTGGATATTTTGACTTAGATAACTTTTATTTCTTTCTCATGGATACAAGTCATATAGAATCTGTAATTTGTGAGTGAGATTGATTTTTTCTTCATTTTTTCCCCAATGATATTCATTTATCGTATGTAATTAGTTTCCTGTCCCATAAAATAATGTATCTAATCATGTTTACGATATTTGTACAAACATACAATTATACTAACTAATGAATACAGAAAGTTGATTGTTGAATTGGCACATAACTAAGTAAATACTACAGTTTGTTTACATGATCAAAGTTACCAAAGTTTTTTTATTGTTAATTTATTTAAATAATAAATAAATTTAGTCTTAGTTTCATCAACCTATTTGCAGATTGTTTTACTTTGAACTTTATTGAATCTTTGAATAATTGGTGCCTATAAATTAAGTTTACATTTTTTACTTTTAGTAGAGAGTACTATGAAATGTTAAAGTGAATGAAATTCGGTAAACATCACATGGATGTAGTGTTTATTACATTTGATAGTCATATTTACTTAAATTGTACTATTAAAACTATCATCCAGAAAATATAAGTGTTTATTAACAGTGACCTATGTAAAATATTTCGGATCCCATTAATCAAACACAATCAGCAACAATCTACTGTGGGAGAGAACAAACTAGATTTTAGCGGAGGAACAATTCAGGAAGAAGCGCTGGAAGTGAATAAGACACATATTGTAGAAAGCACCCAACTGCGTCACAGGGCAAGCCCTCACTTGGAATTCTAAAGGCCAAAGGAGAAGATAAAGACCAAAGAACACGTTACACCGAGAAATGGAGATAGACATGAGAAGAATGAACAACAATCAGAGAGCTCAGAAAAGGGTGGGTTGGAGAATGCTGGTCGGCGGCCTATGATCCACTGTGAGTAACAGGCACAAGTAAGTAAGTAAGTAGGAAAGGAAGGAAGGAAGTATGTATGTGAGATGATGGAAAGAAAAGTCAATTTTCGATTGATTTGCTCATTATGAACTTACTTCAAGATTACTTCCGTTTTGATTCAATGTAATGATTACTCAATGTAGTAGTTGTTTTATTGTCTCGTATGATATTTTATTCTGTATAATATACGATATTCTTGTATTCCATCGACATGAACTATGCTCTATATGTGATTTGTGATAACTGAGTATTTTATATATGTGATTTCATCCTAATTATGAATCAAAGTGTGTACAATCAATATACAAAATGAGTGTATTTTCGACTATAGTCGTTGTCGTCGTCATAGTGCTTTGGGTTAACAAATCACCACTTATGCCAGTCTTTATGTTCTTGCTTTCACGTCGTGGGAATTGCAGAGGTCTCTCATTCCGAGTATAAGTGATAAGCGTTTCCAACGTAACAATCGGCGACGATCAGATACAAAAAGTAGCCTTAAAAGAGCCGAAACAATAAGCATTCAAACGACTAATTATAACAGTATGTATGTATGTATGTATGTATGTATGTATGTACGTATGTACGTACGTATGTATGTATGTATGTATGTATGTATGTATGTATGTATGTATGTATGTATGTATGTATGTATGTAATATACTTAAATCTAAGTATATTATCTCAATACCTCAATAGGATCATTGCAGTATATTATTACCTTCTAGACCACTGAGACGGTGATTTCCGTAATGTATGTTCGATCCATTTCCAACGTCTTTCCTAATTTCCTCTTCAGTCGAAACCTGGTTTATCCTCTCCCACAGTATACAATTGTTGATGTTATCTTGCGTAGACAATTGTTTATAAATACTTGTACCTTTTTGACGATGGCTGTAGTATTTCTCCAAGTTTTAGCATCATACAGTAGAACTGTCTCAACGTTCGTATTGAAGATTTTGACTTTGATAGTGGTTACAGTTGGTTTGAGTTCCATATATTTTTCAATTGTAGGATTGTTGATTTTTAAATGTCTTCAGAAAACAGTTAGTTCAGTTCTGGTGGACAGATAATTGATTCCACTATATCGAGAATGCACTTGGTGACTCAGGTACTGAACAATTATTTATTAACCATTCCTTTTGCTACTAAGTACGCTATTGTGTTCTAAAGAAACTGGTACCTGTACAGAACAAGCCGTACCATTTGAAGAATTTTATAATTTGGTATGATTTGTTTTTTTTCTTAAATAGGAAACGATTTATTCAACCACTGACTTTATGCATTGATGTAAATAAATACCATTGATTCAGGGAGGTTGTAGTTACATCTAATCAAATGAACTATTGTTCATTATACTTATATGTTCAAACCAAATACTGCAAATTTGGTGGTTAAACTCTCGTCGATTAAAACACATTTTACTGGCATGGACACTTTGGATTAGCCATCTTTAACTTTTGGATGCTCATGATATATTGTTGTTTATGTCTTACCTCTTTAACTTGAACTCATGATCATTTACTGTGGAAAACCTATTATTTATAAGTTTTTATGTAGCCCGAGAAGCTATTGTAGATTTCTCGTATTCGCTTACCTCAAACAGCGCTTTTCGTTACATCTTATAGGATATTTATAAATAGGATACTGACATTGATGTTGTACACTCATACATTCTATTTCCTATGTTTGATAGTTTTCTTATATCCATATATATATCATCATATCCTATTGCCTGTTGAATAATACGAATAAGATGTTTTTTGAAAAACGTCAAAACGAACGACAAGTGACTTTCGACTCCCCAACAAACTACTTGTTAGAAGGTTAAGTCACGATAGAATGTTATACCTCAGTTTAATATTGATCAATAATTGATATACCCTCTGTTGATCAGATTGTTTATACCCTTTAAAAATCTTTTACCCCGAAGCGTCGTCTGAATTATTATTATTGTAAGATCCATTTTGAATGTTTTGAGTGTGAAAATCCCTCCATGTACACATTTGCAGTTTGTTCCTATTGATTCCTTTAGTTATACATTTTTGTTAGTCTTTTTGATTCCATTTGAGTTTGAAACAGGGAAATATCTCAAAAATTATTCTATTAAGTCTAATGTTATTCTGGTAATTGAGATGGTATCATTTTCCTATTGGTCAATATTTATTTTACGTGTTATTTTCCTACTGGTCAATACTTATTTCACGTGACATTTTCCTGTTGGCCAAATATTGTACAAATGTTACTTTCTATTTTATGGTACGAAGTGGTCTGCTTGATTGGTATATAAACAGAGTATGCTTGAAATATAACGATTCATATTTCAGAGGCTGAGACATTTGTTCTGGACTTAACTGATTGGGCTAGAAAGAAAGCAGGGTCAATCAGAACTCTAGATTGCTCATACGGTTTTACGTGTCATTGATCCAATCGATAAGTCACTGCTCCATAATCAGCGGTCACAAGTTATAACAGTAAGCAACCAAGGTGAGTAATGTTGTAATCGGATGACAGTCTTCAAGGCAATAAAACAAAAACCATAAGGTGCAGAGGCTAAGTGAAAACGTTTATAATGACGTGCACTCAAACTCAAACAGGTGTACAAAGGGCATGATAACGTCCTACATAAGCAAGCGAAACAAAATGTACATTCAGTAAAAGACATATTAAGCGTTCGAAAATTGGCAACTACAACGGAATTTATTCGTCTTGTAAGTCTTGTAACTAACAATCTCGATGACGATGAATGAACATTTTCACTCTTCCTGATGGCTTACTGACAAATAACTTTCCATGATGAAGTAGTGAAACGGTCTTGCATTTATAAATAAACTAGCTGATCGTTGAATTTTCATTTCAAAATATGTTGAAACTTATCATTTGGAAAATTAGTAGAAATCTTTATAAATGGAACTAATTTCTCACCCATCACTAGATTCACGAAGAATTAGAAGTCCGAAAACAGATTTTAGTCGAATCCGAAACATCTTTAAGCAAAGGGTTCTTACTTAAGTTCATCAGTCAGGTTAGAATGTTCGCTTTATCACTTAGAATATGTGAGCTGTAACCAATAGTAGTGTCTATTTTTAAACAGCGTGCAAAAGGCGTAACTAAAGCCTTTAATTATTATTTTTACAAAGGACACTGAATGACTTAATTCTACGCTCCATATAAATGTAATTTCTTTGTATTTATTTGTCCGATCAGTTTGTCCGCACAATTTGACGACTCTTTGTGTTATCGCGTGTCTCGGTTTGTGTAATCGATTTTAGGCATTATTTGATTAATTAAAGTTTCAGTTGTCGTATTTCCTTAATTTCGCGCTTATTATCTATCTTTCTGTTACCAACTGTCTCATTTACTCGACTTAAGTACATGTTAACGATATACCATAGTGAGTTGTACTCGAGTTGAGTCATGACTTAATCGTAAATTTCTCACGATTCGCCCTAAGACAAAAATTCAATCATAAGAAGATTTTGACTACTGTCCAATTAACGTTGAGGATGTGCACTGAAATATAATGGAGGGGTTTGCAGAATAATAAAGCCAGCTTATGCAGGTTTCAAGAGAATCCTTTATATAGTCGGCTTATGTATGTTTAACCATTAATGGATGTTGTCAAAAAATGGTAGATGTTTACATCCTTTCACCAACAACACTGGGCTAATCATATACAAGTTAGTCTGAGACCCAAGAAACTGTCAAATTCATTAAGACCAGTGCAGCTGAGTGGCTTGACTAACCGTTTTGCGTAGAAATAGAACTGTGCCTTAACGCTATTAAACAGAAAAAGATAAATCATCTGGCTTGCAGTAGCTCGTGAAGAAGATATTGGGTTCTATACGTGTAAAATACTATAATAAAACTAGTATTTGTGGCTATTGTTTAATCTTGTTTTATCTGAACTAGTTCATCGGGATTTACGTCTGGAACAATAGAAATAGTCATTTTAAATCTTCTAGGGTCATTTAGTTTTCTAACCAGTGGTCTGACACGGCGAATTCTGAGGTCTGTTATTGAATATATGTTGACTTGTATGTCATCGTAACGTCCAAGCATAAATCAAACGTGACTTCTTTTATTCGCGTACACTGAAAATTTTCATGTACTGGCTAAGCTATCAAGTTTTACACATAATCTGTATAGATATATATAAGGATATCACAGTGTAATTTCTATAAGTACAGAAGCACTAGATTCTTAATAGAGAGATCACTTGGGTACTCTTACAACTTGCATCATATGATCAAAAATATAAAATTCAGTAGTAGATGCAACAACATAGCTAAGCGAAAAGATGTTCATGTTCTTATCCAGTTTTTTAAAGTTGGGAAAAGACCCCCATTCAGGTCATCTAAACGTTGTTGGTGTTTGTGCATAACAGTTTTTGACAGCCTAAGAAAACCCAATGATTGCAAGATCATATTTTTTTCTCAAACTTCCCTTACTTTTCGAATGACAGTTTTCTATTTCTTTTTTGTTTTAGGGTAGTAAAGAATAATTGTTATCTTGTCGTGTTCTTTGTGCAATTTATCTTTATGCTAAGGTGGTCCTGTTGTTTTGCATTCAGTTTTAAAGAAAAAAGTTTATGAAATTATTTGGAAACCTTGCCTTTATAATAGTTATTGAAAACACCAAGTGAACATTGAAGACACTAAACGAGCTAGAGAGTCCCAGTGTGGAATTAAATCACAGTATTCAGTAAAAACTCTCAGACAGTTGATTTTTGATGAAGTGCTCAAATCAAAGTCATGCCGTGCCACATAGTACCACTCAACCAAGTCACGATCAACAATGGATTGTGAACCAAGAGAAGAAAATAATTCAGTTGGTCCAAAACATAAATGTATGTTAACAATAATCTTTAATATCGTAACGTGTATCAAGTCCTATTACTTATGCTTGATATATATCACTAACATTTTCTTATCCCATTTGCGTTATCTATTCTATCATCGTTACTGGTTATCATCCATTTCATGGACCTAATGAGACATAACCAGTTTTTTTAATTAAATTAGGTTTTCGCTATCAATACAATCTAGGACTACTGTTTGGTCCTATTTATGACTAGTCAGCTGAACACTTCTGGATTCCGGTGTCAATGTTCAAACTGAAACTCGAACTCAGTATCTGTTTCTTCAAACGCACATATGCTAATGGGCACTGCTTAAATGCACTTCTTAGTGCTAACAACGACAAAAACTCGTATCATTAAATATATAATAATTACGGCTGTTTTTGGCTTTCCATTCAGTCCACATGGGGATTTCGCTCCACTTGATGGTTTGGTTGTATTATTTATTTTCATTGTTTACCTATCCGTGTAATGTTCGGATTAATTAGGATTCTTTGTGTTTGGTAAACTTTCCTTGATAGGAAGCTATATAACTGAAAGTAGTAACACTACCTCTTGATTGTTCCTATTTTTTGTACTGTCAGGCTTCTAATTTTTTAAATATACTTACAGTATTTGGAATTTTTTACCTAGACTTGTTTGAATAACTATCAGTTTGCTTCCTTTACATTCTATAAAACCGCGTATCACTTTTGCGCTCCTCAATACCACCAAAGAAATTTTGTAATTGTCTTATATTTTTATGAAGAGTTAACTAAACGGTTAATATATAAAGGTCCTTTCATAACGTAGTAGGAAGTATAATCCGTTTCTTACGAAAGAACATTGTTTAAAAAGGTGATGTGAGTAATGCTTTTACATTGTTTGCAAACATTCTTCTAATATATGTTCCGGAAAGTTGATCAAGTGGTTTTTACAGGGCCATATGTTTAGTTTGGTGTTACTCCCTACATTGACCTTAAATTCCTGCTGGAGTAGGACTGAACTGATAGAAACTGAAGTAGTTTATTTAAAAAATCAGCTGTATTTACGAAGCGAATACTACATCTCTGTGAGAGTAGTTATGCCCTATACTTTTTAAAACTAGCTCTTCCGAACTGAAAATGTTTGGTGACTATTTGATCATCGTCATTTTCAAAGGATCGCTCTCGTTAGGTGGCAGTGCAATCTTATTAATACTGAAGTTCGACATTACATGTTTATGTGTAGTGATTATAATTCACTGGATGTCACAATTCTGAAACACCAAATCCAGTGTCTTGGACATGTTTTACAGGTATCATACAGGTGGCTTCCAAACAGTCTGTAGTTTACCGACCCTGGTACAGAGTCATTGGTCAGTTTATGAAATGGTGCCGGAGTGTGAAATGTAGCATTGGCATCCATCGGTTCACCACGACTCTCCAGTTGGGTTCACGGAAATTGTGCAACTCAGTGGTTTGATACGTCATTAGACATGAACCAGAATAAAAACCACTGGCGATCATACTGTAGTTTTCTGTTAGAATTTTCATAGCAATTAAACGACCTTTCTTAACTGAAAGTTTTTTGTTCTATGCATTTAAACGAACTTTAGCTCTTATAAAATTTCATTTGAGTTCATTAGTTTATTGAGTGAACTACTCTATTTTTTTACAGTATTGTAGATTTACTAGTATAGTATATTCTTTTTGACGTTTTAGTGTACCAGGATTAATGTGCTTTGAATAAGAAAACTGACAATTAGACTTTCATAGGAAGTTTACCAGTTCATTACTTAAGATTCTGTCAAAATGTATTAGCCAATCAAATATGGTTACTAATCAATAAATATAACCGAACTGTCGTGAAGAAACATCATGATACTATATGGTGTTTCATTCTTGTTTTAGAAACAAACCTTAATTTTCTTCATTGATATCTTCTCTAATTACTTGTGACGGATATCAAATACATATTAAGAGACCATATTGAATAGAAGAAAAACTAGGTTTCCTCCTGATATTTTTAAATAAGATAAGTTTTCTCGAATTTAGATATGCACCCTATTAGTACATGTATCTTATATCGAATATTGTCTGGTTTCAATTTTAACTTAAAGACGCGTTCAATGTAGACTTTCATCATAGTTTCAGGTCACATATTAATCCTATTTTATATAAAAATATCAAATAAAATTAACACATTAAACTTGGACAGTAATTATTGATCGCTTATGTCTTTTAAATTAACTGTAGAAAAAAATTATCTTAAATTCATATCCAATAATTTCGTTGAGGTTTACAATCAAACTGTAGTAGTTTGATACTGGAACAGTATGCTAAAAATTACTTAGTTATTTTCCAAACACAAAAGAACTATATATATCGATGCATCTTTAGTTATTCTTATAATCATATATATATCCAATTATACCTTCAAATATTAGATTTTTTAGGGAATGTATGAGTTGGCTATTTTCATTTAGTTAAGGGTTAAGCTGTTATATGAGCTTTTTTGTTGCAAACTAAATTCATTTATGAGTAAGAGATTGTGGAGATTGGTAAATTATATTGAAATTATGAATCAATCTAAGTTAGAACGCCATTCAAAACCTGCGATTACAAGACACCCGTTCCGTCTCATCATGGGACTCCTAAGCAGCGCACATCCACTATCCCGCTCGAGGGGACTGAACCCAGGACCTTCGGTCTCGTGCTCTAACGCTTAACCTCTAGAAAACTGAGTCAGCGTCCAACGTTGTTAATGTCCAACTTTAACCAATCCAAGACATGGCCCGACCATTTCCCATTGTCTCCAGTGGATAACTACCTCACACCCAAAACGGATTAGTTCCATCAGTCACTGACCAGGACTCCAGAAACTTCTTTTCAAAGCCATTCAGTAGTAAGCGCATGATAATTACTAGCGGGGAATTGTGGAAGTTAAACGTTCACGCCCAAGAGCGAAGGTTCTGGTTTCGATTCCCGCGTGCGGGATAGTAGGGGAGTTCCATACTAGGACGAAACAACCGTCAAGTACTTCCAGGCTTTAAATGGTGATCTAACTTAGATCAGCTCATGATTTCAATGAAGTTTGTTACTTTTATCATTTTACAGACGAAAATAAAAAGTGCTGAAAGTGAAAAAGATTTAATTTTGAGAATTATAGCTCACTTACAAACTCAAGAGGGACTTGCTACTGACAGTAAGTATTTTTATGCTATATTCTAAATTTTAGTGGGATTATTTATTATAAAACACACAAATTGTTTAGAGTAACATGTTCTGTCGACGATTCGTTTATTATCTGAGATGACATTTATCACTCTTCTTGGCTGCCTAATTATTCCAACAATTCTCATCCAAACATAATGTACTATTTTTTCTACTTTCATCGGTTTGCCGGCATTTAGGTGTTTTGAAACTAGAATGCACGTAATATTTCAAGCGAAAATAATCGTGAATTTTACTTGTGATGTTACTTTTACTATTTATAGGTAAAGGCAATGTTTTTACAACTAATGATATTTTACTTAAGTTTGTTTGAACACATGTCACTCTTAGCATCTCAATTTTGAAAATGTTTGAATAAGTTTCGTAATGAATAGATTACACCAACATCAGAACTGTCTTCTTTTATCACTGGCTGAAAGTTTTAAAACTAAAGTGGATTTAACACCATATGCTAGATCAGTGCAAGCGACTTACAGAAATCCACAAACTTATGTTTCTTCCTCTTTAACAAAACAATACTAGTTTACAGTTTTAAACGAACACATATTCGAACTCACATCAACTCGTTCCACAACCGATGTCATCAATTTGCTATACGGTCTGTTAGTAACCTCTCATAATTTTTAGTTGATTACTCTATCCTGTTTATTTTCAGTAATTATTGTCATATTGTGTAATCATTATTTTTGCTTAAACCATATTGATCAATATGAATATCAAGTTAGGAAACTTTTCATTGGCTTGAGAGTAGACGCACAATCTTGTTGAGTGTATTGTCTCGCACGAAACCTAGGTCCATAACAATCTGCCAGTGGTCTACAATCATTCGATATCAAAAGTAGTGCATCTTAATGTCGATTAACTTAGGTTAGTTGTTACATTGTAAAGTCAATTAACAGGATTTGGTTAGCGCTTAAGTCTAGACTGTATAGCATGGATTACAGGTAAGTAGACACAGCCTATATCCAAGTAATGAAACAGTATTGTGGTTAGCATTTCCATTCATTTACGAACTTTAATGAAATCCCTAATCATTAGTTTTACAAGTTGACTTTTTTAATAGAATTTTTGAATGTTTAGGGTTTCATCAGACTTGTGAAATCGATACGTTATGGGTGTATTCTACATTAATGTCATTCAAATTCATTACTCCAAATCATTATTATATTTAAATGGTGAGTTACCCTTAATCACTTTATTTATAAAAACACCTTCAAAAGATGATATTATAAATCTCAGGAAGTAACTAACTGTTGTGATGGGACGAGTATTGGAATAGTTAGGACTACTTTTGAATTATTATTAATATTTGCTAACTGAATTATTGCATTTCTGTTTTCCTTGTTCGAAGCTTTCGGTGGACCTATCAACTGTCGTTATGTATTTTGCTACTTCTTAATTATTGTTAATTACGTACTATTTGCTTCACTCTCTGCGTCTTATAGCATGATTTTGTTCAAAGTATGATTTCTTATTTGCTATACCGTGCTAAGCTGGGTAATTGAAATATATTAATAGGAGCCTGGCTACAGACTTTTCTAACTCAAGGCTGAGGATAGAGAAAGGTGAGTGGATAGATAGACCAATATGGATAAATCCTGCACTAACACAAAGTTAACTACGCCGATCACAACGCGTCACTACTCAAGATTTAGAACGGCAGGCTATAATTGGAATAGAAGATGCGGGGTAGAAAAGTTATGGTCGGAATACTGATTGGTAAATTTAGCACGTGGCATCGACTACTATTTCGAAACATATTATTTACAATGCAAGAGTAATTAGTTAATTTAAAACATTACCAATAACATTGCGAAACAGAAAACTCTAAATATTGATACAATATAAATTATTTTGGTTTTTCTCAGGTAACAAATATTCCAGTCATGAATCATATCCAGTGAACGGAATTAAGTCCTTATGTGCTGAGAATAAGGGGAAGCAAAACTCGTGTGAAAAAGTTGAGCACAATGACAAAAACGTAAGTACATTCTTCTCTTTGTAACAATACAAAAATAGATTATCAATGAAGGATCAGTTCAGTACAACACTTTTCTCAGAAGTAGACCGGAATTTTTAAGTAGATGCAATAATTTGGATGTTGTTATTATTATTGTGAATTATAACATTTTAACTTTTGCATTTAAAAAGATTGATTACTAAGCTTTAGATAAGCTAACTAACAAACTTTCTATACTAAGCCTATTATCTTTATATAAACGAAAGAGTGGCCTGCTTCAACATCTGGGCTACCTATTTCTGGCATTTAGATATTTCAACAAGTGCGTTTCTAAAAAGTGTACAACCTTTCGTTGTACAAGTTACAAAAGGCCCAATCTGATATGTCGTGGTTTCTGGCATTAAGCAATGAAAATAATGTAAACTATTTAGATATCGATTGACTGGAATGCTAACTTCTAACTGGCGACCACTCAACATTTATCGTCAGGATCGACCAAGAAGTAAGAAACGAAAACTTGTTGAAATATTTTGTGCTTCTATATTGTACCAAAAATATAATACTGAATAAATCCACTAATAATAATAAAATAAATATATTCCTTTCTAACTTATCATTAAAACTGGTTAAATTTATTGTATTCACATTTCTTTCATCTGGTTATTCTCTACCTCTCTCAGTACCTTTTTGTACTACTTCGAGTAACTAATTTATTTCATGATAATTCTAGGAATACTACAAAAATTAACATGTTAGGCAAATTATATGGAATCTCTGAAATGTAAATGAAATTCTTTAAAGAATGCTTTCATTGTAAAAGATTTAGAGGTCATATACATTTAATTCTGTTCTCATCATTTACTTGTCTCTATTTATAAAGTAAACTGACTATCAGAAAAATATCATAAATACGAAATATGTAACGTTGTAGTTATAGTCAGCAAACATTCTAAAACACAGATAAAGTAGTATAATTTATTTTAGTCAATGCTCTCCAGAGGTTTTATATTCCCAGAACTTAGCATAACTCTTGTAAGTTCTACATTTTCGTTATTTTATCACCAACATATTCCTTTTGCACCCAGGACCTATCGGTCTCGCGCGCGAACGCCTAGCCATTAGACCACTGAGCTGGCATCCAACGGTGTTATTGTCTAACTTGAACCAATCCACGACATTGCGCCACCGTCACCATTGTCTTCAGTGAGCTGATATCTCACAACAGACCTGGTTGAACTCCACGGCTTCTCACTAGGACTCCAGGAGTGTCTCTTGAAGTCAGTCACTAGTGAGCAGATGATTATTATCAGAAGGGGCTTTGTGGAGACTTTAGAAATTTCACTAGTTGAAATCACGAGTCAATTGAAGCTAGACCACCATAGAAAACCTTGAAGCACTGAGCGGCCGTTTCGTCCTAGTATGGGACTCCTCAGCAGCGTGCATTCACGATCCCGCTCCCCGCGAGATTCGAACCCAGGACCTATCAGTCTCGCCCGCGAGCGCTTAACCATTAGACCACCGGGTACTTTTTAATTAATCAGAACCTGAAAATAACTCATAAATGAATAAATCGATACAAAGTACGGCTCAAAAAGAATGCTTCATAGATGGAACAGTACAGTGTTTCCAAGTAATGATACAACGAAGTCTTGAATTCCGTGCCTTATTAAATTCAGGTTTTATATTCCCAGGACTTAGCATAACTCTTGTAAGTTCTAAATTTTCGTTATTTTATCACCACCATATTCCTTTTGCTTAAGTACTCTGTATCACTGAATAAAATTAATCCCTTGATCCTATTTTTTACTATGTAGGCTCTGTGCAAATTAGGCAATCTTTCTGAGGGAATTCATTCAAAGTGTATCAGATGCAATAATGCTCCAAACAATTCTAAACAATCGCGACGTAATTCAAATTCAGTCAGTCCTCCGGAAAATTGTGGTGCAGTGGAGCTTCATAACATTGAAAAATTTATTAACGTTGTGTAAGTTACACATGTAATTCGACTAAATAATGACTATTTTCAATGAAAAACTATCGTAATTCTAGGTTACCATTTTAGTATGATTTCATGAACTCAGTGTCTAAAAGTTTAAGCATATATTTTTGGTCAACATATTCCACGTAAAAATATTTAACAATGACAAATTCATTGGGCTTGGATTTTGTATATACCAAGTTATCAAATGGAGAATCAATCTTTTCCAGTATAATATTCCTTACAGTCAATTCAATTCTTGTAGATGATGTTGCATTTGTCGTTTACTTGTGTGTCATTCCATCTTTATATAGTAGAACCAAGTGATTCCCTTGGTTTGTGATCGACATTGATTCCGAAAAGTTTCACAACCACATATCCCAGGACGATTTGTTACTTGGTTTGCGAGATTGACTTTCCGGTGGTCTGTTGATTCGGTAGATAACTCTTGTTGAAATTGCTGGACAACCATTTTTACGGAAGCCAGAGAAAAAGTGAATTTCTTCGGGTTTTTTGTGTATTTAGGTTCTACATTTTGCTTTAGCTCTTTTGAATAATGTCTGTACGTAGATTTTTTTGTATGTTGTTACTGTCAACAAAGCAAAACGGTTAACATCAATAAACTGACAAATGACGACAACAGAACCTACGAAGTAAATCAATTGCAAACAAAACCTTCAGAACAAATCGACCTAATACTTTGGTATAACTAGAAAAACCACTTCTACACAAATTAGACATTCATGATGTTGCCCAGAACTACGATGAAAGTTTTAAATAAGCCTAAGCCAGGGATTTCGGAGAACACCGCATCATCAAAAATGTCCATCTGAACTTCAAATCTTCATCTTTCCGAAGTTTGCTACTAGCTATTTCAGGACAGAAACTTTATTAAGCGTGTTTCATACATTTTCGATCAATCAGCGCTAGTGGATGAGTTGAGGTGACCACAAAATTTGTGCGGTTGTGTATACATTAAAATTTTTAAAAACCTTAAAAATCATCATATTTCAATTTTTTGTTTTTATTTGCGACCTGTCGTGTTGAAGTGAAGTGTTCAAGAATACTAGGCCGTAGAAAAAGACTTAATAGCTAGTTACCACAAATGATGGGTTATTATTGAATATCTTTAACTCAAAAAGTCTTGGGTTAATATATTTGCACAAATTTAATTAGATTTATAACTAATTAGAACAGAAATAAATTCCACCCAGAACACATTAATGCTGCTTGCTACTTCCATTTGCATAGGCTGATTCGAAAGCTTCAAACTTTGGCTGATCATTGTCGCAAATCTTTACAAACATGTTTATATCTCCATCAAAATGGTAGTATGAATCCTGCTCATCAACCTGAAACGCCAACTTGGACTAATGTACCTAATTTCTTTCCAAGAGGTTGTCCATGTATAAATTCCAGTTTAAATGATGGACTACTTATGCGTAATTCTAATCGCGATACAACTGCCACTACCCTTTATAAAGTCAAAGATGTAAGTTTTTATTACAAACTGACTAAGTATTTATGGAATCACTTATTGCATATTGAAAAACTGAAAATCTAATTTCTCTTCCTTAACTTCTACCATCATCAGTGCATTTGTTTATTATTCTTAATGACTATAATTGATTAAAGAGACTTCTTTCTAAGAAAGAATTATATTCCAGCAATATCATTATTGCATAGTCAATGTATACGTATAGTAGTTTGACCATAAAATATTTGTGAGGTCTGTCCAATTTTATATCTACATTACGAAATAATCTTGTCTAGACCGCCACTAGGAACCAAAAAGCACAAGATATTTATATCTTCCTAATATGGGACTCCATAGTAGAGTGCACCCAACGCTCCTTTTGGAATCGAGCTCAAGATTTAATGTTTTGCAGCGTGCATACACAGTTTAGATTCCATGGTTCATAAGTTACACTTTATTCCATTTGAGACGTCGCGAGACCATCGTTCAATGCCATTAGTGAGTAACTGTCTCACACTCGAAATGGGTGAACTCCATTGGTCATAGCTTCTTACTAAAACTACTAGAATCACCTCTCGAAATTAGTTACTCGTTAACACATGATTATTATCAGTCTAAGCAGTCTGTAGAGATTGTTGAATTTTATAATGCTCATCGCTGACAGAGTTTTAATTTTAAGATAAATTTCACTTGTCCTCATCTGTTAAATATTTCTAATATATTGTTTATATCATTTGTAATATTCATAGTTGTGTATTGAATGGTGTATTATTTACTATAGGGGATTCCATTGATCATTATTAAAGTAACTCAATCATGAGTTATCTATCTTGTCCAATTAAATATTAAATCCTGTAGTCACTAAAATGTAGTTGTAATTCTGTTGTCTTGTAATTTACCTCAGTAGAGTTGACATGACTTTTATGTACGATATTTCAGGAACACTCTTGTAAAACTTTATTGAATAATTCGATTTCGATGAATCCAACATTTAATTCTAAGTCTCAAAATTATCAAGCTTTTGAACGTAGAACAAATGTTAAACCATGTAAAAAGATTTTGAATGCTAATAAATTAACATTTACAAGTAATAAATATTGTAGTGGAAAATGTTATCACTGTAAAGAAAATCAGTTGAGAACACCTGTGATACGCGAAGTGATTGACCATACGGCACCAATGAGAAAAATAGAATGGAGATAACAATAACATTTGTATATGCTTAATCATTTAAGATATAATAAAAAACCAAATATTTTTTCGAAGAAATATATTTGCGACACTTGTGTTTTCCTTGACTTTGTATTTTCTTTCTACCATCAACCTATTTAATTAGTTATTAAACATTGACTTTGTCAGTTGTCGAAGCTACTTATCAGTGTTTACTTATGTTACAAACATGCATGTAAGAAACATCCCCTCAATTATATTGATTATTTTAAGAAAAGTTGTTTTCGTCCCACAATAGGACGTAACGGCCGTCCAGTGCTTCCAGGTTTTCAATTGTGGTCTAGCTTCAATTGACTCATGATCTTAACCATTGAAATTACTATAATATCCACAAAACCCGTTCTGATACTAAAAATGTAATGTAGTTAGAAATTTTGTTTGTTACTTTTTATTCAGGTGAATAATTTACTTGGTCAGAATTCACCAACAACTTTTTTGTGAGTTACTGATTAAGTATCATATTTCATAATTTGTTAATGGAGATTGCCGTTTAGGACTCCATTTCGACTTTTATTTGGCATATGACTGATAAAATCATTAAATGGTAGTACAGTAAAGAAATCGGCGAGACTATAATATATGGACCAACCAATCAGGTATAAGATAACAGGTCTCGAATTTTGGCGCGAAACCCACCGATCCATTTAGGTAAATAGTTTTGTCGTTATAGCTTATGTCAGTTCGTAATGAAAACCCTAAATATAATTCTTAACCTTAATCATCAACAGTAAATCATAGTTCTAATTCCTTACATTGGTTTATAACCCTCATTCGCTCTTAGTTATTAGGTAGACACTCTCAAGGTATAGTTGAGATCTTGACATTAGTAATTTCAGCACAAAATTCAAAGTCTTTGTCGCCTACCTTTGTGTTATCTTCGTTACTTTCTCAATATGTTGTTTGTTAATTTAACTGAAATTTTACGGCAACACTTATAGTGACTTTAGTCACATACAATGTGTTATGATGTGCAGTGTCCTCGTATACACAAGCCCCCGAGCGGCTACCGAAAGAGAAGGCTACGAGTGAAGACGGGAGCTTATTAGAGTAAACCGATTTACAAACATAAGCGCTCATTTGTATACATATTATATCTACTGAGAAAATGGGACCGTTTCTCGGCCAATAGGATGCACTTGGCACTTAGGATATTTCTGATTGGGATAACGCAGCCTTCTCATTTGGTGAAATTTGATTGGGCTACTATATCATTAATGAAACTGTAAACTTAAATGGTAGTTGTTTCGAAGATGCTTCGTTCAAGCAATACAGCTATATATCGAAAGTAACAGTATGAGTATTACCGATTTGAGGTAGTTCAACTTTAAATGACAAACCTTTCTAAATAGCAGTCATTACAACCACAATGTTTTCGTTTACATCACGAAGTCAGTTAAAATCGTATGAACGATTATAATCAACCGTTAAGGTCTCTATAGTCTACTACGCGTTTTATTCCTTAAGAAATAATATATTAATGCAAATCCGATGAAAATATGCACTGTGTTATTACCTTTAACCCACCAAGGTAATTCAGTCATCATGTGTATCCAGAGTGAAGCATAACAAGTGATAATTACACCAGTTTTTTCAAACAAAATATCTGTACAAATCAAACCATATATACAAGAAATCTTTATTCACTTTCTTTAATATCTTTAGGTTCAGCGTCCCACAACCAAACAAAATCACCACCTGCTGTAAGTAGTTTACTTTGTTTAGGATGTGGTGACACTGAATGAATCATAAAATTTACTGATTTAGCCGTTTCAATTATCAATTCACTAACTGATTCTGGGTTGTGTGGAGATAAAACACCCCATGCATTGCTACCAGGTTGATGATCTAGTGTATGAATCGGTGCATCCGAACGTATGAAATCCCATACAAAAACAAGACCATCTTTTTCTGAACCACTGATTATATGACGATCTAAATTCATCAGAGCACTATCCATTCTGTAAAAAAAGAAATGAAACAAATTATGAAGATCGATTACCATAACTTGTATTAATCTAAATAAATGAATATTAATTTAATAGTACATCTCAACTAAACTTAAACTATACTCCCGATAACTTTTGACCCAACCTCAAAACCATTGAGAAGGCGAGAGTCAGCCAAATGTATATTCTCCATTTCAACCGACAATAGTACATGAAGAAATGTGTGTGTGTATTTATGCACTGTTTTACGCAGTCCTTCAGAATCAACTATTCAAAGGTACAAGTTTTATGGCACCTAGTTCAATAGTAATGCGCAGTATAAAAACCCATTTATATTACCTTTGAACAATTCAAACTCAAATATTGCAAGACTGAGAATCTGTCCAATTAAAGCGCCAGTCATAAATTTATAGCTTTCAATATACCCTAAGACGTAATTTCTCTTCAATCGAATTCAGGAAATAGACGGCTTATCAAAACTTGCTAATGAGATGATTAGCAAAGGAGCTGCTAAAACTGAGACTCTTTGGGATCTGATCAGTTACTAAAAGATAAGTTATTTCACAACTGTTTCAGACTCCCAGTCATGACAATCCATGCAACCTAGGTGATATGCAACTTTGGATACTATCAGCTTATGTAGACATTTAATAAACTGTTTTATAACTTGTAACTTATGTGAAACTAGGAGAATAGCATAACAAACCTTAGATCATGAAACTGAGCAATGTTAACTATAGTCCCGTTAATTTGGAGAGAATGGATGTTAGGATAACGCAAACAGATAAGTCTTGGAATTTCTTAAGGGCTGCGTAAGGAAACTGATGCTTTAGCAAACACTATGATTTTTGGTTTGGTTAGTGTCACCTGACGAAACTTCATATATTAAAAAACACATTACTTAGCCTCAATCAGATTTATAATTTTAGTATGGTTTTATTACTAAGTTTTCATAGCACAGCCAGAAAATATTGAGATGTAGGTTTAAAATCATTAAATATTTCATTAGTGAATATCATGATGAGTCTTGAACTTTTTCGCAAATAAATATACAAACAATAAACAGGCAACTTTTCTGAAAAGAATGATCTTACTTGTATGTTTGATTAGTATGTCCTGTGTATCTGTTAAGAAGTTCACCGGTTAACGCGTCGAATAAACGTAAAGTTGAATCTTGTGTACCAACTAAAAAGCATTGACAATCTATGGTAATTGAAACCGATGTAACTGGGTATCCAACATAATCTTCAGTCATTTCACCTACAGCATTTTATATCGCCCAGTCAACAAAGATAAAGGATATTAAGCATAAATAAAAAAATATCATTTATATCGTGAAAAATTATTCATGAATTGATACAACATGACCATTTGATAAACTTAAGCAAGCCCATCAACTGTGGTTACACTATTTACTATTCCTAATTTGTTGCCAGTCAATTAGTCACAGCCACTTTTGGTCCGTTCATACATAATTGTTATATTTCATTCTATAGTTTGATGAGATCCGGTATAGCCGTAGAGGTTGACTGCTACTCAAGGCAAGGGATAGAGAGGAGCTTGCGAACAACAGGGAAATGTGAACTTAGCTGTCGAGGAAACAGTAGACTTGAAATAGAGCAAATCAAAATTAGGATTCTGAATAATGACTTGGCATGTAACATTGATACGCGGTGCCAAGACATAATAACATTCAGTTGCATTCATGAATTAACTTGAGGTAGTAAGTATGCAGATAGAGAGGATGAAGAGGAAGGTATCTGCTAGGTTTTCTGAACACCTTCCTAGAAACCAATAGCAGTAATGTCTTCATTATTATAGTAGCCAGGTGCCTGATGGACAGTGGATATCAGTAAAGTATACAAAATAATAAACAAATAGCCATCGCCCGTTATACCCAATTTCGCAAATGTAGTTCACTAAATATTTCCGACATGACCCATATGTACGTAGGAAAAACGCAATAGTCCTTTAATTGACACGGTAATTGTAATCATATAATTTATATCACGCATTATCTTATTAATGTCTATACATAAATTTGAGTTTGATACTGATCATGTTGAATAATCCTGTCATAATTTAGTATTTCCTCTGCGATTATTTAAACTTTTAAAATTTGATTATGGATAAATAATAACGTCACCTCCATTATGTATTACTATTCTATCAACATTTAAATTTGGAACGATCTTAACTAAGGTTAATCATATAATTTGGATCCTATTCCTCTTATTACAACTTTCGATGCCGTCTCGAACAACTGTCTGTGATGTGTTAGTGAAAAATAAACACCTTTTGCTTGTTTACTAAGGGATCGTGAGATCGGATCGTAAAACAGGAGAGCAGTTGTATTGCTCTAGTCCGAGTATGATTAGCTCACCCGGATTGTCTGTTTAGTACAAAATTGTCCCGAGAGTAACACTAAGTGATTATTTGTTCAGAATGCAGTTTCTCACACTTGGCAGGAAAATCATTCATCCATTCGGCTAAATAGCGTTTTAGCATTATTACTGATGTCAGTTCGTGACGAAAACCCCGAATCTAATTCCTAACCCTAACCACCAACTGTAAATCATAATCCTAATTCCTCACACTAATATAAAATCCTCATTTAACTCTAGTAAGTAGGTGGACATTCTAAGGTCATTTTAGAGCTGATCAAAGTCGTCCATAAACTGCAGTCTCATCGGTTACTAGTAAAATCTTATTCGCACTTGAGAAACCTATGATCATAAAGTTATCAGTCTACTGTCGGTGTGAAAAGTTATGTTTAATCGGTTGAGAATGAATTTCATAATCTTCATTTAGTTAATTTTATAAATAATACAAAATAATGTTCCTTCAAGAAGAAAACAAATGTACCGCATATAAAGAAGTTTGCCACAGTGATAACTTTTAAAAAAAAATAGATTTTCACTAACCTCGTCGAATATCATAAATCCGAACACATCGATCAACAGAACCAGTAACAATTTGATGTCGACGAAATGCACAACATGTGACACTATCACGTGCCTCATGGATAGTCTACAAAAGAAGCGAAAAAAATGATAAAACACTACGGGAATCAATGAGAAATGAAAAATGCACAAATCAGTCAAAAGTAGGGATAATAATAATAATAAAATAATTGAGTAGTTCAAGTTGCTAGCACTAGATAGAACATGTGATACACAATCGATCGATAATCCGGCCACTTGGTGAAGAACTAGATAAGATCACACACATAATTGATTGACATACATACAATGGAGGGTGGAGGGAGTTTGTAAACTCAAAAATGGAATGAATATCATAACATGGGATAACCTCTTGAATTTATTATAGTCCAATATGTCTGTCTACAATCTTGATAATCACATGTTAATCTGATTGGATAAATCATTAATTTATTGATTGAGATCATGAACCCACCATTGAAAACCTGGAAGCACTGCTAGAAAGCAGAATAGGATAAACACACAGAGAATGACGTAATTTTCACAGAGGAAGTACGATTGAGAAGACATTGCATTTTCTCTTAATTTCATTCAACAACTTATTACATGTTTGGGTATCATTGATTCGTTTCAAAGACTAATATTCCATTATTGGAATAAATGAGACTTAATAGTTGGAAGTGGAATGCTAAACTATTGAGCCACTCCAATTCATATTTAAATGAAATATCCTACTTTCAAATAAAATCAACGAATAAAATACGGTGGATCTGATGCTAATGTGAAGGCGCGGATCGGCAAAGCGAGAGCAGCATATCTTCAATTTAAAAACATCTAAAACTCAAAACAGTTGTCTATCAACCAACACCAAAGTCAGAATTTTCAATACAAATTTCAAGATAGTTCTACTGTATGGACCGAAAACTTGGAGAACTACAAAAACCATCATCCAGAAGATACAAGTATTTACTTCGGATCCGTTGGCCAGACACTATCAACAACAACCTACCGTGAGAGAGATCAAATTAGATCCCAGCGGAGTAAAAAATCGGGAAGAAGCGCTGGAGGTGAATAGGATACACATTGAGGAAAGCACCCAACTGCATCACAAGGCAAGCCCTCACATGGAATCCTCAAGGCCAAAGGAAAAGAGGAAGACTAAAGCACACAATACGCAGAGAAATGGAGACAGATATGAGAAGAATGAACAACAATTGGATAAAACTAGAAAGGAAGGCCCAGAACAGAGTTAGTTGGGGAATGCTGGTCGGCGGCCTATGCTCTATTGGGAGTAACATGCGAAAGTAAGTAGTAATATATATATATCAATTAGGGAACCGAGATTTTAAGGAAATGGAGTCTTGAGACGAGTTATTAAAAATGAAATTTACTGTGCTTTATCACAGGCAAAAATAACGAACACAAAACCACTGCAAAGTGATGAGCACTGATTGTTTGGAACAATTTAGTTATATTGTATTGGTAAATGGTACTTAATGAGCCCACAGTTTGGATTTACTCAACAAAATGGCGGAAAGTAAACACTGTGATACTCTATTTGATTGCTAAAGAATAATCAATATATTATCTCTACCTAGATGTTCGTGTTGATCAAATCATTGGGACTAGGTCTCAACATGACACCAAGTCTAAGTTGATGCCAAATATTAGAAAAACTATAAGCGGTTAGGTAGACCAGATAATGTTAAGATGATAGAGTGTACGTATCGGTATATGTAAGCGAAAGTTGAATACAAGGAAATCGAATCGCATCCGTAAAGACATAGCAAATAATGTATATAGATACACTAGTTTATAGTAGTGGACTTTGAGAAAAAACAATTTGATTATAGTCAAGTTTGAATCACTATACTGGCATAATAGCCTCTTGATCAGGCTAAAAAATCCAACAGATATCTTTGATCTCTATTTGATCCTACTGATGGAGTGTTTGTTGCGTGTTTGGCTTCCGTTGTATCTATTACTTTAAATTATAATCGTTTTAATCAAAAACACCTACCTGAACTGGATAAGGAGTACGTGCTCTGGCATCCCAAACTAGAACCATCCCATCTACACCAGTAGACAATAAAATTGGACTAGGGTCTAATGAATCGGAATTGTGAAACGGTGCAATGAATAAAACAGAATTTACACGACCAGCATGACGACGCCATCGACGAACAGATTGTCCTGTAGAAACATCCCATAATATAACTAAACAGTCTGCTCCACCTGAACCAAGTTGGCTATTATCTTTCCCTGCCTACATTGTTAAAAAGCAAAGTATTGATGAAAAATGGGTTAACATCCAAATGGAAAATAAATGTAATCGTCCATAGAATGCATTTACGCTTCTGATCACTATTGAAGTACAGATTCCTATCCCTGGTTGTGAGTCCAGACGTTTAATGTGAAGGCTAGATTAAAAATCTCATTATCCAAACCAAATTACATGAAGTAGTGAGGTCTAAGTATGTGATATCTGACTCCAGTTAAATCGTATGCTGATTATTGTCGAAACATAACATGCCACCAACCCTCGTATACAATTATCGACTTAACTCACGTTAGAGACTAATAGAACAAAATAAGCCAAATACAAGAGTGGATTTTGAATACGTGTATTTCGCACACTCATTGACTCTCGGACACAATCAGAGAATCGCAGCAAAGAAAAACGGATTGGAGAAGGCGAGTGAGCTAACTGGTTTTGATTACGCGTGACTCAATATTTATATTCAGACTAAAATAAGTTGCAGACATATAATGTCAACGCTAAATAATTAACGCACATAAGATCATGTAAAAACAGTCAAGGTCAATAGGAGAATAATTGACAGGGCCAAAATGTGGCTTGACAAGAATGAAAAGATGAATCTGTCCAGAAGCTGGAATGGCCTATGGGGGGCTTGACATAGTGCCAGCCTCTACAAGCTGATATGACAGGTGGTGGACTTTAGTGAAAGTGATCCACAAAATTGATTTTCCTCAATCGCTCATATTATTTTATCCCGTATATAAAGGCATTATTTTAACAAAAAAGACATCACCTTGGTTGGTGGTCTTATCTTCTAGCATCTGTTTGACCAAGAGCTAACATCGATAATTCGTTCTCACGAGCATATATACCTCGGTAACTCCGTATCATCTCATTTTATCGATCGAGTAGCCTTCTTTCTTTTCATCTTAAAAATCGGAAACTCATTCATCAAATTTTATTCCATAACAAGTCCAGATCAGTAAACTACTGACCTGTTGGTGAGGATCTATTAGGATAGTGATTCATTAAATGATACGGCGATAAAATTGGTTTTATAGAGTAAGGTTTCGGAATACCTTAAGGAATGACAATGATAGATATTGTTTACATATCACTAGGGTGTTGTGTGATCTAGTTTCTTTTGACTTAACGTCAGCACACTAATACACAATCGTTTCATAAATATGCTTCCTAGGTACCCAATGCGAAATTTTTTACCCAGTATAAAAACCTGTTCAGCTTGGTGGACACATATTACGCGAGATAGTCCATAGACTGTATTCACGAACTACAGATCAAAAGTATAATGTTTCATTTACTATCCAGCAATTTATGTGTGAATATAATGAAGTGATTTTGGAGAAAGTGTAATAATTTGCTTGTGCAGACCAACTGGATTCAAAAATATTTTGGTTAACGACCGTTGCGTTTTATTGTCAAACACCTAAGCAAAAGAATCCAATCGAATTTTACTACATCATAACAAGAATTAGAATGAGCGATTTAGATCACGATAAACCAAAAAGCGAAATCTAGTAGGGAAAACACCAGTTTATATAGAATTTACATATAAAGCTCGTAGTGCTTGGTCGATTCGTCTCCCAGCTCTGATTGACTGAAAATGGATTAATTAATATATTCCGATCTGGATCAGACCAAAGTAGGCAATATTCAGGATTTCGTCCCAGACTGGTACCAGTCGAGAAATCAGTGCTTTGGTGGCTTTTCATACTTGCATAACCGGTCTTTTAAACAGGATGATAAACAAATTGCTCGTTTAACGTTTCAATTGTTAGAATTCAGAAATTACAGTAGGTGCGACTCAAAATACGGTAGAAAAACCTATCCACGGTTATCGAGTTACCAAAGTACACTCATTTGTGTGTGCACAAAAAAAGGAGTAAATCTATGTAATAAGAGCTCACCTGGACATCAGAAACTTCCCCACCATGCCCTGCATAAGTCTTTAATAAACGAAAATTATAAGGATTCCATAGTTTTATCGTTTTGTCCCCACCAGCTGTCATACAATAATTCCCATCTGCATTAAAACGTGCTGCACGTACAGCTGACTGATGACAATGAATACGACAGTATGGTTGAGTAGGTAATCCTAATGTCTTGTAACTACCATCATCTTCAGAAGACATCACCCTGTTAGTGAAGAAAAGGGAAAATAAAATAGAATTTAGAACAAAACCAGCTCCTCCCCACATATAGATGAAGTAAAGTAGCCAGCCAGGTACTCAGAGAAGCTATTGCCCTCTTATAAAACAATCAACAATGACAGTACCCATCGTTTATTGAAGTTGTTGACAACCACAGTTGAACAAATTCACCGCGTCGACAGTACGTTAACTAATTATTTAATGTTGCAATCAGAATGAATGATTGTTAAGATATACACCTAACTCTATGACTGATCAAAGCTGGGAATACTTATTCATTCGCGTTAATTATTTATTGAAACGAGAGTCATTGGCGTGATATGTATTAAAGATAGTTTTTATCATCAAAGAAGCAAATATCAAGTGAACTTTCATCTCGAAAGAACAAATAAACCTTAAATTTTAAGAATACTACTTATTAACATTTTTCGATACAAACTTCATTTTTAACCATTCCATACTGATTGCAATACTGAAGATAACAGGCCGCCAGTTTCTTAACGACCTAAACATAAACTGCGAGAAAAGGAGTGGAAGGTCATCTACCAATCTGTTATGTCATTTACGAAGCAGTTTGTTATGGTCGACATTTCTATTTGTAGAGAAATCAACAGTCATACAGTATTAACTCACATGAACCAGTTGAAAATGTACTACGATTAAGAGATTCACAATACCAGCACTCCCCAGTAATATTCTTATTAACAGAATTTTGATGTCTTAACACTAATCATTCCAAAACAGAACTTACATACTTATATGACTAATGTTTATGAACCATAAGGACTATACATTACATGAGTGTTATTCATACGGATCATCTATTTATAACAAGTGTGTGATACATTGAAGCACTTATAAATATCCCACAGGCATCTATCTTCATTCTTGAAATAAATGTTGGTTCCTATGAGATTTTTACCCACAATAAGTAACATGAAACAACATCAATGGTTAAGTAGATAAGGAATTTAATTCTTTTAAAATTGAGAGGACACTATGCTAGATCGTATTGTCAATATCGATTTGCAAAAAATAATATCGATCGGGTTTGATTAGTCAAATTATAGTCATAATTGTTTCGATCCATGAATGTTGGTAGGTATTTATTCCACAAGAAAAAAACAACTGAGAGTTATCTAACCATACGATATATTTTACCATAAAAAATCTAATTCGTAGGGATTAGACAATCAGAACAGAAAGAAATGTATCAGTACGTTTGCCTAATTCACGATGATAGATTTTTAGTAACACCAAAGATGTTGACGAGACTAGGACAGGCCAAAGAAATTTTTTGGACAAATACAGGCTGAAAACATGAATAATTGGAAAACATCACTGGAAATGCATTTCCATAGAAATGCTTCTTTATATATCGTATTCCATAGATGCTCAAAATATTGGGCGAATAGAGAAATCATTCACTGATCTATTGGAGCTGTAGTGAACGAAGATTCAGGTACGGCAAACCAATTCATTATTTTATGCAAAATCACACAATGCCTTCTCAAAATATGAAAATCATAAAATGAATATATCCTTGGTACAACTTCATTCAGTTACTCTTTACATAGTTCATCATTCTTTTAATTCTGTTGTTAAACCAATTGCTCCCCATTTTCCTTCCGGTTTTCTTTATTTCAATCTTCTGCATGTAAGCATTCCACTTGTCATTGCTGTTACATATTACTTATATCTCTCCACATAAGAGGCGCACACCACAAAGTTGTAGTTGGACAAATATTTTTGGGAGTAAAATGTGATGGGACTATCTATTCATATCGAAACATAACTCACTGAAAGACAAATTATGTTGACAAATCGGGTTCAGATAATGTCTTTTAACCGCATAAATAATAAATGGTGTTTTTGTTCCGTCTCAAAAATGTTCGCGAATTTATATGGAACTGCATAGAAAGGATGTAAGATACAGTAAATCCAGGAAATCAAATTTGTTGAGAAATATCCAATCAGAACAAAATGGATTTCCAAAACGATTTGCACCTTTCCTTAAGTTGTAATAATCAACCCAAGAAACAATATGCTACTATGTTTACCTAAAAGTGCCAAAGAATATGTATATACACCATCAAAGATCTAATAACTTGTCGTAGAACGTAATAACAGTGCACACTATATCCCAAGTACCAAAGTATATCAGATTGCGGAACGCTCTCTCATACACTAAACAGCGACAAACTATCCTAATTCTTTAAACTGCCAACGTTGTACTACTACCAAGTTTACTACTTACAAAAAGTTCGTTTTGACAGATATTCAATCATAATCATCATATATAGGAAGCTGACATATGTGAATGAAACTATTAATTTATACTTTACATTTAAAAGCCAAGAGTACGCAATTTTAGACCAAAAAGGACCAACAATTGAGATGTGACCATATATTTGCCGTTAGGTTATTATCATAAAATCGCATGGAATAGAAGCACGCATTTAATGAATCAAATATATTTAACTATCAACCACTGAATTGACAATTAATCTATACTCAACAATTTAAAATATCTGAACTTCCTAGTATTAATTGTTTTTACAAAATAGTTGTAGCATCACAGTTAAAGAGGATAAATAAGCCTGTGTCAATTAGTCAGTAACAACGTAGAACTTCATACGTTCGTAAATCAGTTCGAGTTGCCATACCACATTAGCAGAGATGCAGTTGTCGACTCAAATCCCGTAATGGTAGAGGTAGTTAGAGTATAAGCAGTAATCCGAAAGATTAGGGTTTGAAGATGGTATCCAAGGCGTATAATCCAGTGAAATAAATTTGGAAAGAGGAAAAAAGAAAGGGACATGAAGAATTCAGAAGATTAGGGTTGGGTAGAAACACAAAGAGTGTATGCACCTGCGCTATTGCAAACGATTTTGCGCCATGTCATTCAGGGTCTCTAACCATCGGTTGTTAACATTTAGTGGTCCCCAAACGGGTAGTCTACACCTAACAACATGGCTTAGTTCACTTGTCAGTGACTTCATGGATTTGTGCCATGTTTTGGTCTGACTATTCATCATTATAATTTTTAATTGTGTTGTGTTTTGTTTCATAAATAAGCATACACAACCATTTCTCTCTGAGATTCATTCAATTAATGACAAATACACTTTAAACATTTATCTACACAATGTATGGTTACTATAATCATTATTATGTTAATTTCTAAGCTACTAAGGAGTCAGCCCCCAAATGCCCTGGTATGGCCGAGAGTGGAGAGAGTCCGTTCTCCCTCTCGAAATGCTCTCACATGGCCACGCGTATATAGCCTCTGTCAGGGAAGTCCTACTCACTGCCTTCTCGCGGCATTACTGTTGTTTACGAAAATGAGAGGACGAAAAGCGAATGTCCGGCGCTTTAACCGGGTTCCAAATCAGTGGTGCACATGGGCTCCAGTATCCTGCGGGAACAAATGGCGTATGAACCAATTGTTGGTCACCGACTACCATGGGACTGCATCTCCTTACGATGCTCCACTGCCTTGTGGATCAGACCTTCAGGTCGAAGGCTCGGGGAGTGGTCCCCTAAGAAAACCACCTACTTTGGTTTGGGCACCCGGGCAGTATCACAGCCCTCACACATATCGAATGAGATTTGTGTGGCGCATATGTATTTGGTGCCTCCTTGTACCAATGTCTATGTTAAAATAAATAAATAAATAACTAAGGAGTCAAAGATTAATACAGTGAAACACTTGTTCAATACTCAATTTTGTTTAAAATATATACATATGTATTTACGGTAAAAATTACCAGTCACGTTTATCTCAATATAGGTATTCATATATATACACCTTGGGCAGCATCATTGATTAACAGGGTGGATCTGATGCAGATGTGAAGGCGCGGATCGGAAAAGCAAGAGCAGCATATTTACAACCGAAAGACATCTGGAACTCAACGCAACTGTCAACCAACACCAAGGTCAGGATTTTCAATACAAATGTCAAGACAGTTCTACTGTATGGGGCAGAAACCTGGAGAACTACGAAAGTTATCATCCAGAAAATACAGGTGTTTATTAACAGTTGTCTACGCAAAATACTTCAGATCCATTGGCCGGACACTATTAGCAACAACGTACTGTGGGAGAGAACAAACCAGATCCCAGCGGTGGAAGAAATCAGGAAGAAGCGCTGCAAGTGGATAGGACACACATTGAGGAAAGCACCCAACTGTATCACAAGACAAGCCCTCACATGGAATCCTCAAGGCCAAAGGAGAATAGGAAGACCAAAGAACACATTACGTCGGGAAATGGGAATAGACATGAGAAAAATGAACAAGAATTGGGTGGAACTAGAAAAGAACGCTCAGGACAGTGTGGGTTGGAGAATGCTGGTCGGCGGCCTATGCTCCATTAGGAGTAACAGGCGTAAGTAAAATATATATATACCGATTGCTTTGCATGGTTTCCTATTTTTCTATAACTCAAGTCAGTGGATAAAGATATATATTGAGAAATATTTGCATAACTTTATAAATAAATGTAAAACAGAAAGAAAAAAATTACATAAGTATGTCAAAATAGTCTTTATTGTTTAAATAACAATAAAAAACATAATCATATACATATTTATTATTGACAATGAATAATCTAAACTGAAATCACTTTGTTATGAAACACCATTCAACACCTTTAAACGATCCATTATTTCTTCTGTGAAAATATAAATATGAAATAAAAACAAAAGTTGAAAGTTAACTTCATATTCAGCTACAAAACATTTTATAAGGGGAAAAAATCCAGAAATTTCAGGCTTAGTTCCTACTACTAACCATATGAGTCTTAATATCATTACTTATTAATTCATTGAGTAGTTTGTCCCTAGGATGTATTAACCGCATTTAGCAATTAAATTCCAATCGGTTTTCAACCGGTAGAATAAATCTTTGAACTTTGCTTATGATTTAAATCGGTATGGACAACCAGTTAATATTTTATTGACCATTACATACACAATTAAGATGCTGCTGCTCAAACCTGATTAAGTACACTCGTAGTCGGTGAATAAGCTTAAAATCTATACAGAAGTGACTGGTTTCATTAATACTTCATTTGATATTAGTCCTTTTTAATAAACACAAATTGGTCTTCAGATCATTTATTTTGTTAATAAGCAAAATAGAAGTTAAACAAACTTACATATTTAAAAATTAGCATTTTTGAAACCAAATCAATAAGAAGAGTTTCCAACTGAAATAACTATTTTCCATTACAGACGAATAATTCAACTTTGAAAACTAAGAAAAACAGTCCGCCTAGAAGAGCTCTAGTGATAATAAACTTAATCAGTCAAAAAGTATCTTTTACAAATCTGTACAAAAAAAGTAATTTGTTTTAAACCTAAAGTTCATTAAGTACTCATAGTACAGTTAGCGTCAAATGCACTTGGTTGGGTAAAAATGGTTAAAGTTTGCAAAAGTAGGATTTCTAATTGAATAGCTAGAGAATGTGATTAATTCATATGTTGCGATTTGGGGTTTATAACGATGTTTCAGGCATAATACAATTGACCTCCTATTCAAAGACTCATTTATTGATTTAGAGTACGTAGATGACATAGTTCAGTGTGGGAAAGACGCTCTCATAAGACTGTTCTTTGAACACCTCGATTTAAAAAAAACACAAATGTTTTGGATGAGACTCTTCCCATCTTTGTACAGAATGTTGTTTGACGACTGGTCAGTATCAGCTTAGTTTAACCATAGTCTCGTCAGCCCCAGTGGTGGTTT